AAATAAGGCTGGAACGTTTTTTTCTCATACAAGACTATATCAACCCAGTGGGGGCCACTATTGAACCAAATTGCATATTTGATACAAACAAGGCAATGGTTCATGATCAATATCTAAGATCTTGAAATTATAGTTAACAAAATAAGAATTGAATAAATATATATATTTCTATAGAAATTCATATTAAATAACTTATTGAGTGATCCCCGGAGCGGGACAAATATTGACCCAAGGGGCTTGATTAAATACCAGTTATGTTGTGGTCCACAAAGTGATGTTACATGGAAAATATCTACACTCAGGGTATTGTAGTTTCACACAAAAGTCTTTTCTTTTTTTCTATGTAAGGGGCATGGCCAATATTGAATCAAGGGGTATGATTCATATCAGTTTTGTAAAGGTCAATAAGGCAATGTTACATGACAAGGTGGGTAATAATATACGCCGAATTATTTTCGGGCGTATAAAAAAGATTGACATGTAATTCTTTCATACATTTGTATTCACTTCAGCTATTGTATGGAGTCTGAACATTCTTGAAAAGAGGACAACTTTAAAGAAGTATGACATAGCTTTAAGTAAAGAAGAAAAATAAATGAGCTACCCACCTATTCTTTAATTTTTGCACAATCAATCGGAAGGAACTAAGCTAAAGAAAAAAGACCTTTCAAACATTTATTGTTAATTATCTGCTCTGGAATTCTTCCACAGATAGCTAAAAAAATACAAAGTCGGTTACCCTCATTTTTTACAACTATTTCTATTGGCATACTAATATTCTAAGACCGTGAAAAGTTTAATACGCTGTAAATCTATCATACAGCTTGCCAACATGTAAGCTGAGGTCCTGAAGTCTATTGTTACCTCAGGTGTAACGATGTAAACTAGTCTCTATTAAAATACAACATTAATCTATAGAAAAGGTTATTCATTTTTTACAATGATACTACCTCTGAAGAAAATTAAACCTGTCAGAAACATACGTTTTCTAGCGTAAGAAAGCCATTTTAATATACTATTAATTTACGTCATCACTTTGTAACTGAATATTCCAAACCAAGGCTTCCAAAATGCTTTTCTTTCTAAGATTTAAGATTTTTAAGTTGGCAGGTTTTTGAGTAACGTTTTCATCAGTCCATTAAAGGATAACATCAGTAAACATGGATAACCGGAAAACAGTTTCAAACTTTGTAAGGTTTTGTATCAATACACGTAAGTAAAGAAATATTATTTGAGGTCTAAGCTATAAATATTTTGCGTTAAGCATAATCTAGTTGATCTGTTAGTGTATTGACTTCCTTTTTGGAAATGATGTACATATATAAAGACTTGTTATTCATCTGGCATGTTTCATATGGCCCCGGCCCATATTCAATAATGACCATACCGATCAAGGACTTAACTTCAACATAAATGTATCATTTGTTTATGCAATTACTTAAAAAATCAAAATCAAAAAACATAATAGGAAAAGCATTTCAATAAACTTCCAGTCCAAAAAGACCTTGAGCTTTGACGTTTTGTACGAGGCATTACTTACCTCCACCAAATTTGTTCGAATCATGCATCATTAAAAGGTCATTTCCTTTACAGTATACTGGCTTTTCGGTCCTATATCTAATGTAAATATGACTTCTTACTGTAAACTGATGACCCATTTGCACATAACAGAAATTTAATTTTAAAACAGCATGCCTCCAGAAGGTAAAAGTAAAGCTATCGTCTTACCAATTATCAAAATCTCTCCTTTTAAACATTATACAGTTGAAATAAATCGAACTGTCGTTTTAAAGATGTTCGTATTTCAGCATCTTTGCTGCGATAACAAACAACCTGCTTTTCTGCCATCGGGATATTGGCATATGGCTTCTTTTATTATACTACGGTACTCTTTCATGTGGGTATATCTAGTACAGGACATTACCGGTACCTGTGATCCGGGACCGTATCAAACGTAGCGTGAAACGGAAAAAAACTGGTTTGGTTTTGATTTTGTAGTAATTTGTGGCATTAAGAATATAATTTAATAATTATATCATTTCTTTTTATATTGGCTACTGCTCATCTGTTCCCCTGCAACGTTCAGGCGCCAAGGGGAAGAGAGTGGTGGTGGATGTTTTTACTACAGATCACGAAAGTAAGCAACACTGAAATTAAAAGAGCACAGTTCAGCCAACGCATCGTTCCTGGGCTGGCCGCCAAGCAGTTTACTAGTACTAAGTGCCTTCATTTTCGCAAGGAACTGATAACTTCTGTACATGCCACAGCAGAGGTACAATGCAAAGGACTTTATGATCAATCACAACGAATGTGACTTGCACCGTGTGGGATTCGAACGCTCTACGTTTTGAGCTAACTGGACAGCTAAAATTAACGTGGTATAGGCACTATGTTAATTAAAATAAAGGGCCTCAACTGAGTGTTTCACATTATGATATTGGAAATAATGTTTTAAGATTTGTACAACTTAATGTAGATCTGGACCACTAACTCGAGTTCAAAATTTCGGACATATTCTCTCTCCATTTGTCGAGAATAATCATTTAAGTTTTGCAAAATCTCAATAACTCTACATTACTTAGTTTTTATATGTGTCCCTTTATATGATATTTAAAAATGCTTGTCCAGAGAATAACTTGACAAAAAAGCAATATACTTAAAACGAGGTTTGTAATAGAGTGTACTGTACAAAAGTCATAATTGTACAGTGCTTATTTTTTTCAAATCTCAATTAATGATACTTTATCTTTAATAATACCTCTCCGAATAAAACTTCTTAACTGTCCTTATTGAAACCTCAGGCAGTAATAGACACTAGTCAAAGTGCGTTAAAGAACGATAACTCTACTAAACTTAGTTTTTGAACTATCTCTCTTTATGATACATAATAATGAATGACTTTAAATATTAAACTAATTTTATAAACACATCAAACAGACAAACAGAGATAGAGACAAGAGAGAGGATGTGTATTGTCGTCACTTTGCTTGATTTCAATTATCTCCCTCTATAATACTGAATAATGCTTGTTACAACTTGGTATCGATGTCTTTTATGTTTGGTTAAAAAACATCTTGGGTGGTCGTTTAACTATGGTTTCTTGTGTCATGAATAAGGCCACTGGTACTTAAAATTGACATTTTTACAAATCTAATTTATACTGATTTATTTAATAGATAAATACAGAATCCCTAAAGAAAGCCCAACACGGCAAAATTTAAAATGTTGCAGGCTCGGTTTGATTGAGCCTGTTCATGGACGGTACTGGAAAGTGCAAGTTACCGTCCACGCCCCTAGCACCGGCTTAAGCAGAATTCAACATTTAAATATGAAATAGTAAAATGTGGAATTTAGAAACATCCGCAGATGTGTTCATACGGCGGTTATCATGGAACCTTCAATGTGACACTTCCGTGCCATTCCATGAAAAGCGGCGTATGGTCCCCAAGTAATAGAAAGCGTGTGCCCTAAACGAGAAAACAATGGGCGGAACTAAATAAAATGGAATTTTGAAAGGGGATCAGAGGTTATGAAGCCTGTGTATCACAGATAAGACGTCAAAAGACAAATTTAAAAAGCAGGCAACATATCCTAAGGGTGATTCAACATTATTCAAGTAGGAATACTGGAACCACCCAACTAGAAAATGCCGAAAAGTTGAAACTAAAAATACCACAAGCACAACAATATTGTCGTGCTGAACGATCTTCAAGGATCGAAAATATAACATCATTGATTAAATGTACGGGGAGACTTTTTACAGCCGTTTAAGTTTGATTGTGTTTTGTAATCGCATCCGTTCCTGGAACCAACCAGTACTAAGTAATGGGTGAAAAATTTCTTGCCAACGGAAACAATGGCTTGCCCTTCACGGGGTTTGAACCTCAGCTCATACAGCTTTTGTTTATGAACTAATGTCTTTCATTACATTATTGTTGTGCTTGTGGTATTTTTGTTTCAACTTTTCGGCATTTTCTAGTTTGGTGGTTCCAATATTCCTACTTGAATAATGTTGAATCACCCTTAGAATATGTTGCCTGCTTTTTAAATTTGTCTTTTGACGTCTTATCTGTGATACGCAGGCTTCATAACCTCTGATCCCCTTTCAAAATTCCATTTTATTTAGTTCCGGCCATTGTTTTCTCATTAGGGCACACGATTTTTATTACTTGGGGACCATACGCCGCTTTTCATGGAATGGCACTTACGTGTCACATTGAAGGTTCCATGATAACCGCCGTATGAACACATCTGCGGATGTTTCTAAATTCAAAATTTTACTATTTCACGTTTAAATGTTGAATTCTGCTTAAGCCGGTGCTAGGGGGCGTAGACGGTAACTTGCACTTTTCAGTACCGTCCATGAACAGGCTCAATCAAACCGAGCCTGCAACATTTTCAATTTTGCCGTGTTTGGCTTTCTTTTGGGATTCTGTATTTATCTATTTCATATTATTTAGGTACATACATTTGGTAGTCATCTAACGTTTGATGAAGTATTTGGACCGACGCTAAGGTTAACGGTGCAAAAACTAATAAATATACATTTCATTAAAAACATAAAAGCTGTGCAAATAAATGTGAATTTATGTCTTATTCAACAGGTGAATATTTTTGTTTGCTCTGTAAATTTGGGTGGCGGAGAGGTGGACTCTTAAGTCAAGGTTACGAAACTGATAAAAAAAGAGGTTTTTACAACTTTGCGCATGCAGATTTTTTTTCTAATGACAAATGTCTCACATATTTAATAGGTAGATACCTTTGGCTGTCCTCTTATTTTGGTTTAAGAGATTATTGGGGTCAAGTTTTCTGGTGCCAGAAATAGATTTTACTTCTTTGCACTAACAGCCTTTATCGACTAATTTGCAATTAATACATTGACAAATGTCAAGAATTGAAAGCATCAATAGCCTTCAACGATATTCTTTTCGTGCAGCTTCTTTAAACAAAATGTTTTATAATACAGGTTCACAAAATAATGTGCAATCAGGGTTTTCCAAATATCTCACAACTTGTTATCATAGGTCATATCCAAGAACGGTTGTAAATTCTGATAAAGAATTTCTTGCGTACAAAATCGCTCCAAATCTGACATGCTTCACGTCATGATAGAGTGAATACATCACATTACTAATGACATCGATATAGATGACGTTGAATGACCCTATTCCTGGAATAATGACGCTGGTGGATTCAGCTGCAACAATCGGAGATCCGTTTAACTTAAGTCCCGATACATCGGAGGCAGAATCAATAACGATAGAAACAACACTCGGATCAGTAAAAGTATCAGGGACCTGAAAGCTACATCTGTTTATAAACTGTGTGAGAGCTGGAATAACTGTCAGAGAAGGATCTCCATAAATGTTACTTGAACCGTGACCATACTGTGTGACTAAAATGTTTTCTGACGATGTAATTGAGAATATCTCAGATGCAAAGAAGCTCCGAAATATCGAATCCTGGCTGTCCATTGAAATAGTTTCCACTGGATTTCCATTAATGTCCCATATGTCCACAGTGGTACCATTGTATGGTGAAGCGATGTTAATTGTGTACATAGGTCTTGTTCTCTGGTAAGGTACTACAAACACAGAACCAAGTGTGTTTAAAGGTGGCATATTTTCCATAATGAAATCACAGAAGAGAGCATCATGGTTAGGAATATTGGCACAGTCGTGTCCAGTATGAACGACCACTGGGTTGTTAGCAGAAACAATCGTACCTGCTATTGGTTCTAATTCATTTGCCTGAAATTGGTAAGTTTCATGTTTGTTCAGTGCTACTGTCAGTGATGAACCTGTAGGGAATTCTAAAAGGACGTCAGTGTTATTATCTGCAGCAATAACAAGAATCTGTCCTGTGCCCCACCAAGACGAATTATGAGTGCCCACAATAAAGACTTTGCCCCATTTCTCTTTTGGAATTTCCAATGTGCCATCAACGGACCAGCTGTCATAGTTTAAAGAATAAAGAGCAATAGGGTTATCAGATACGATTTCAACACCCTTAAACGAAACAACAGTGGTCCATTCCGGCATCAGGGTGTCAGAATATTGAAGGTATAGGGACTCGTTAAGAAAATGTTGTTCTTCGTATATATTAAGGAATGGTATAGTTACTAAAACATTGGTCGGTTCAGGAACAGTTGATACCATAAGCAGGTGTGGCGTCCCGATGCATTCGTAGTTGCACATGAAACCAGTGAAGAAAGACGTTCCGAAGTGATCATCCACGACTGTTCATAAAATATGAAATGTAATGCATTAAATTAACTTGGAGACGAAAGGACATTTAAGTTAATACGAATACAAAAATCTACAATGTAAATGTATAAATACCGTTAGACAAAAATATTATCCTCATGTTCTAAGAACAAAATAATTATATAAATTAATCCAATGTAACTAAGTTATCTATTTATAAAACTTTTAATTAATACAGTAAATCAAAGCTTGGAAATATTACAAAACAGAAAATGCTATTATATTATCTTAAGATTACATGGTACATATATCTTTCTATTAGTATTTCAATATATACTCAGATTGTTTTGTTAACGGGATGATCAAAATATTTACGGACTTTTTTTGTTTTTTGATTTTAACAATGCTGATAGCATGCTATATTTATAAAGTCATTATACGGTTATACAGAAGTATCATATTACATGAATATACTGTACATGGATACAGAAAACATTAAAAACTGGAGTAAATAGTACACCTATTGGTGATCTGTTTAAACGAGAGTCATCAACGCTTCCGTTGTAGAGCCATCTCTAGGGCTCTCATTTAAACAGGTCACCAAAATATTATATTTATTATATAATACCATAAAAAATTGAGGTACATGACCTTTAATTTCGAAATCCGCGAGGCAATTCGCAGATTCGTGATTACTGGAAGTTAATCAGAATCGGTAAAATGAAAAAAAAAATCGTTAGAAACAAAATGACCTCTAAACTTTTGAAACTGGGACCAAACAGATCGAAAATAGAACAAGTCTTTTACTCACTGGGAAACAATCCATTCTTCACGACTGTAATTATACTACTATCAGCAATATCAGTAATATCTGCCGTTCCACTGAGGAGACACTGTCCACTGCTTGAGTTATAGGTTGCCGTGGAGCAATTTTCAGCAGTCAAACACGAGTCTGCACAGTCAACATGTGAGCGAGATGACAGTTTGGAATAAACATTTGTTACTGTCTTAGCCTGTAATACATGAAAACTTTCCTCCCTAAATTCCGCCCGAACCTCAATCCCTACAGTTATCATAAAACATAGAAAACTTAGTCTTGCCGGTAACATTGTTCCAAAAATACCGCTTTAACAGCAACAGCTCCTCTCAGAAACCTTGATCTGCAAATAGACTTAAACATGATCCTTTTTATAGTTGTTTTTTTTTAAACAAAATTCGTTTGTTTAGTTCCCGTGGTGTTTCTAATGTAACGGCATGGAGGCGTAACCTTATACAAATATGTACTTGTACCAGTTTCATTGACCCTATAAATGTTCTATTAAAATAATCAATAGTATTTAATTAGTTTAGTAATATTTATTAGTTATTAATTATGAATATTTAGTTTTTAGAAAAGCTCAGTTTAAGAAAACGATGTTTCGGGTTTAAATTTACAATTCACACATTTTATTTTCATTTATACAGTTTGCCACGGCATGAACTATTCAAATGTCACAGGAGACTAATTTAATACTGGGTGCAGTAAGGAAGACAAAACTATGAAAGATTATAATTATGATGATATAAATATATTTCTTCTTATGACAAGAAGTTATTGTTGTTAACATAAATTCCAAGTACAAGGGGGATATAACTCTGGAAATAGTCACACTAGAGTTATGGTACTTGTCACACAACATGTGTGTAATGATAAGAAACATATATTTGTAGTTTGAAGAAGATACCTTAAAACGTAAAGAAGTTATAATATTTCTTAAAGAAAATTCTAAGTTCAAAGGGAGATAAATCTGAAAATATTGCTTCAAGAGTTATGAACCTTGTCACATAAGATCTGGTTGATGATAAGATATATGTATTTGAAGTTTGAGGTAGATACCTTTAAAACTTAAGAAGTTATAGTAAAAAATAACATTTTTCAAGTAAAAAAAATCTAACTTTATGGAGAGATAATTCTTGCAATATTGGTGCTAGAGTAATGAACCTCGTCACATAAGATGTGGGTAATGATAAGGAACATATATTTGAAGTATTAAGTTGATACTTTATGAAATAAAGAAGTAACAGTAAAAAATATCAATTTTAAGGAAAATTCTAAGTTCAAGGGGATATCAATCTGAAAATATTGGTGCTAGAGTTATGAACCTTGTGGCATAAGATGTGAACATACACTTGTAGTTTGAAGTTGATACCTTAAGAAATGAAAAAAATTATAGTAAAAAATAATGTTTCTTAAGGAAAATTTTAGGTTTAAGGGAAGATAAATCAGAAATAATTGGTGCTAGAGTTATGGTCCTTGTCACATAAGATGTGGTTAATGATAAGGAACATATATTTGAAGTTGATACCTTAAGAAATGAAAAAGTTATAGTGAAAAATATTTTACTGCACCAAAACTTTTATCTGAAATCTGGACGGCGGGTGAGTAGAACAGCTCTCCATAGACTTCGTATACTCGAGCTAAAAATGGTCACATCTTTTATGTAAACGTCAGTTATTAGGTCACATTTGCGTTTAAAGTTTTAACAAAAGCAGCATTTTTCTTTTAAATCGACTTCATGTCAAATATTTAAGCTCATGACATTGTAATTTCACCCAAGAAGTTTTAAATCGTGTTTAACTTTGTTACTCGATATAAGCGGTTTTGACCACAAGGCCATCAAGTTATATAATTTTTGTAGAGGACCAAAATGGGATGCTACTTGCAATTTTTTTAAAATTTCTAAACTGTATTGTACTTTTAAAGAAGATTTTTTAAGACACTTTACTATACAAGTCTATGTAAACTAAGTGACCTGGGGTTATAAAACTTTCTTCAATGTCCACTAAGCAATGCTACATGCCAAATATCTAGGCTCTTAGCATTGTATTTTCTCAAAAGAAGACTGAAAGTATTTTCTATACATTATCAAGCCTATAGAAGCTAAGCACTAGGCATTGTAGTTTCTGAGGAGATGCCTTTTTAAAACAATTTTACTACACAAATCTGTATAAACTTGAACTGCCACTGTCATGGCATGAATACCCCCGCATACCTCTCTGTCAGAATCAACAGTGGTCATTTAGAGCTCTAGGACAACTTCCCTACCACATCTGAGGTTACTAAGCCAGTGCATTGCTAAGTTATGTATTCTTCATGCTTCAAATGTGAAAATGTCATAATCAATACACTGCAGACAGGCATTCTTAAGCATTTGTGCAGACAAGCTTATTATAGTAAATATCCAAATGACCTTGACCTTTGACACAGTCGCTTAAAAATCAACAGGGGTCATCTACTAGTCATAAACAACCTCAATACCAAATATGAAGACTGTTTACCAAAGCATTCTGAAGCAATTGAGCGGACAAGCCTTTTTAGTCAAGGCCCCTGTGACCAAAAGGGGTCACATTATGTTCATGACCAACCTCTATGCCAAATATGAAGACTGTGGGTCAAAGGTTTCTTTAGTTATTGGGCGGACAAACTTTTTATAGTCAAGGCCCCTTTGACCTTTGACTCAGTGACCTCAAAATTCAATAGGGGTCATCTACTAATTAAGACCAATCTCAATACAAAATATGAAGACTGTGAGACAAAAGAATCTTAAGGTATTGGGTGGACAAGCTTTTTTAAGTCAAGGTCCCTGTGACCTTGACCTTTGACACAGTGACCTCAAAATCAATAGGGATCCTCTACAAATTATGACCAATCTACACACCAAATATGAAGACTGTGGGTCAAAAGTTCCTTAAGTTATTGGGCGGACAAACTTTTTGAAGTCAAAATCCCTGTGACCTTGACCTTTGACCTGGTGACCTCAAAATCAATAGGAATCATTCACTAATCGTGACCAATCTAAGTACCAAATATGAGGACTGTGGGTCAAAAGAATCTTAAGTTATTGGGCGGACAAGGAAAAACCGACGGACGGCCGGACGGACGTTCTAACAGAACAGTAATAATATGGCTACTCTATTGTTCTCTCTATTGTTCTTTTAAGCCACACAAAAGAAAATAGCCACATAAAAGCATTACGGAATATATGACATCAAAGAGAAAGAACAGTAACATATTGTCCCTCTAGCCACATTATTACTGTCCCGTGAGAGCGGGGTGACGACCGGACGAACAAGCTGATTCCAGTAAACCCCCCTTACACCTTCATTGTGCTAGGGTATAATAAAGCGACAGTCGGTGTGCCAATGTTTTCCTAAAGGGCATGATTCATAAATTTTAACTTTTGTAGAGGTCCACTTAGCAAAGCTACATACTCAATATCTCAGCTTTGGGAATTGACGTTTCATAAAAGTATACTTAAATATATTTTCCATTATAAGCTATTGCAAGCTTAGCGACCATTTTTGGGCAGAACCATTTTTACCACAGGAGCATGATTTATATAACTTTTATAGAGGACCATATATGGTGATGCTACATGCCAAATATCTAAGCTCTAGGCATTTTACTTGAATAGAAGATTTTTGAGAAACAATTTGCTTCACAAGTCTTTGTAAAAACTATGTGACTTCATTTTTACCCAAAAAAACTATGTGACTTCATTTTTACCCAAGGTGCATTACTGATAAAACTTTGTAAACAGTGGGGTTATTTATCTTGAAAAAAAGGAACACTGAAATGCATGTGTTCCTAAATGAATATTTTATAATTAATATGTCGTTTTCAGTACGTACGTGAACATCAGCATCTACGCAGTCGGTAGGCAATTATAATTATTTATAAAATACATTGGACACTTATTGAACATCATACTCTGAAGGTACCTGATATGTGTTTTTTCGATATTTTTATGTGCAAGGAACGTGAATGTTATTGGTGGTCTCGTTATATTGGAAAATATTTATATGTGTAAGTTCTTATGATATATAACTGTTCAGTAGAAAGTATAATTAGATCTAAACACAACGTTAAATGTTTTATGCGAGGAAGTATATTTGATTTGATTTTTTTTTAGGAAGTATATTTAACAGAACTTAAATATCTCGGGAATTTAATTAGAAAATTAGAGACATCTGAATAATAATTTTAGAACTATCCTTTACATTTTATTTAATATTGGCAAGAACTATTGCTCGGCCATGTATGAAGTTTTAAAGTCGGTACCTTCAGTGGTCAATGAGAAATGATGAAACATAATCGTCCGCAAGTATCGTCTGAGTTAATAAAAATATATAAATAAAATAATTCAGGTAAAAACATGCTGAAAAGTTGTGAAAATCAATTGCCCTAAATTTGAATTCCTTTTAAAAAATCATTTGCCAATATTTACTTACAAACAGTTTGAAGTGTTAACTTAAGATGAAGGCCAGAGGTTCCTTAATTATTTGATACTGTTTCAAAACGTTTTCATTGACCTTAAGTAAATAAGCTAAGCAATTAAAACGCATAAAGTAAAAGTTCGATTGATACAGGATCGTATTTCTCTATAAAAAAGGCATGCTTTGCCACAGAAAGAATTGTAAAGGAAGTGACATGTTGGAAAATTCACATCGAGTTTATTATTTAATGTAGATTCATAACAATTTAATAAATCAATATTAAACAACTGACGTCAGTTTGACAGACAAAAATATCGTCCCGATCAAGAAGGCGTTTGCAGGTATAATACACATTTCTCAAGAGCTATTGAATAAATTGGTAATTAAAACAAGGAAAAATGTTGAAATGATAGAAAAAAAATACTACATAATAATTAGTTGAGAATTAAAATGATTAAAAAAGAGCAATAATTGTCTGTTGCTAACGATTTTGCTTGTATTGTTCTCCTTGATTATTTATACACAAGCATCAACACGGGGGTGGAACCCCATACGTATCTCAAAAATGAGCATCGGTAAAAAGTATACTAGTATGCGAATTTCCGCTGCTTAAGACGTGAAGCATAACACCAGATGTGACTGTGAAATTAGGTCAATCGTCACATTTTACACGACTATTCAATGTATTAAACAAACATAAATACATGGTATGTTTGAGAAATTTTAACACTAGCTTTACCCAAACAATACTCATCCATCAATTCTTCTACAATGACAACAATATTCTATTAATCATTATGTATGTAAATTTATGAAAGGCATTTATAGACAACATATATTTACGACAGACAACAAATGGTGCATTATTTCTTTCACAGACGAGTTTTTCTGAGGCAATGAGTTTTATTTGAGAGGTCACCAGACTTCTCCACAGTGTTGAGAACGGGTGCTGGCAGCATCCATTTTTGGGTATCAAACTGAAGTTAATGAATCTCATTAAAGCCTTAAATCATTAGAACTAGTCAATCAAAATTGTTACTTTATTTAAACAAAAAATTAACATCGAGGTGAACAAATTGGTAAAAGGAAATATTGGAAAAATCTTGATTTATCTACAGGTATTCCTTCACTTAAATTAGGTAGGTACTCGGGTATTAATGAACATTCTATTTAACCTTTTGAGTACAAAAGGAGACTTGGAAATTTAAGTGCTCGGGCTATTCCCGCTGTTTTTAAATAACGGCTCGGAAGTTCTTTAATTCGAAAAGGAAAAATAAATTGTTTTTAAACTGTTTTAACGTGTTTCCATTGCTTACGGGTCATATATTTCTTTCCTTCCTCTTTTTGATAATTTTCCTTTTTTTTAAACTTTTTTTTATTGTTTATCGAAGTATAACTGCCGTAACGACTGGCTCAAATCATAGAAATTACTAGTAAACCATTGCTTTCTATTTTCCACAGCAACTCGCATTTTTCTGGACATGCTACGTCATGCATATATTTATCAAAATTCCGGGTATCTGCAGACAAGCTTTTTATTAAAACCGAAGTGATACGAACACTCCGTGTGAGCAACGGCTATACAAGTCCTGTAACGAAACAGTTTCATTTTTTGATGGTGTGTCCTAAAAAAAAAGTGTTTTTAAAGGGATATTTCTGTAGAGCCTACTTTTAATAAATTTGAATCTTTATCAAATTATAAACCGAAAAAGGAGATATACAATCTGTCAAAGTGTCATGTCTGATCTCATTTTCATAAATGTATATACATGATTTTTCTATCAACACTATAACAATGTTTTATTTGTAATAAAGTTATTTGTTTTGTATTTATTTAGTAAATGTCAATACCGAATCGTGTTTGTGTGTCTAGTTTTTGCCGAATTCAACACTGGGTAATACATGTAAGAGGAAACGACCATATACATTAGACTCAATCTCAATTCATCCACGATAATTCGGTTTACATTTTCGCCAAGACCAGAGTAAGTCGTTTGTGTTATGTTTATGTCATACAATGCCAATGGGAGTTATTCTTACTGTTGATGCAAGTGTACCACGTAAGAAATTTAAAATAACGCCTCGGGTAACAGTATTTTTCTGGGTATGATATTTGAATGTTACCCACAGACCGATCTCTTTATTTATGACCCATGTATACTATATACTACATGGGCACTATAATTTATTATACGGTGTAGTTAGTAGAGCCATATTATCACAAATTATTTGGTCTTATTTTTGAAGTTAGTGCCACGTAAAGTTTTATGTTCTGACGAAAATAATGTTTACACAATATCGGTCGACTAGCCATTGTGAGAGCATGGATGGGTAGTAAGTTAAGCGGGAAAATTTTAAAATTTGCACAAGCAGAAACTTGATAATAATGAATATTATGAATAATAGGCGAGGTTTTCCGTTGCTTAAGCAGGCAGTGTATTTGTCTATTGACAGAGACTCATCGTAAAGCTTTCATGAATTAATATCAGGAGGTCTAGCAATCATACAAGCTTCAAGGAGCGTATTCCAATTTATGTGTATACTTGTATATATTAAGCTTCGCTGTGAAAACATTTAAGTTAAGAATGAACGGCAATATATAGACCTGTGTAAGTTTCGTACATGTAATCGGCAATCAAAATGAAAACCACCACGTTTTGATATGCTTTGAACAAAGTGTAAACATGCTACCACTGGCCTGGATCTTTACGAGTAATATTAAGTTATAGTCTAGCTTTAAAAAAAAACATACTCACTAACCAATAATATAAGCCTGCTCATATTTCCTGATACCTCATAGTTAACTGCAAACAAAGTCCAACAAAGTATTTTTAGATTTTTACTTTTGTTAGACATTGAAGTTTAGAGAAAATCTTAAAAAATTGAATGGTACCTTAACAAAAATGCCACATTATTCTCTATGCCAGACAAACACGAATCTTTAATCAAGGCTTAAAATAAATATATAATTTATCATGTACAGGCAAATAGAGAACATTATGGCAGCGGCAAAAAATAAATAAATTGTAAAACAAGTACTATACTAATCTTTAATATATTTTTGAAATCATGATACAACCTGCTACAAAACACAAATTAATGTTCTCTTACAAATGAACAATATTCAAACAGACAAAACATAATATAAAAACAATGAAATGACACATGTACATACACAGTTGTTTTAAATCTCTTACAAAACAATGTTTAAAGGGTGATTTTCAACTTATTCCAGACTCGCCATTATTTTACATTGGAATTTAAATCACAAATGAAGTTTGTAAGTCTTTAATTCCATCAGAATGGAAAATTGTATCCACTGCTTATTATGTTTTTTTTAAAGTATTGTAAAGTTCATGCTACAAATAATCAATTTATTTCAAGTTCTTACTTCTAAATAAACAAAGAAATGTCTGTTGTAAATATTTTGTTTTCAATCATAATTAATTCTAACTAATCTTATAACAAAAATACATGTTGAAAATAAGACCTACTAAAACCATCAATAACTCAAATACAAGTTTTTAGTAACACTAAATAAAGGCTGCCACCTTGTTTCTAAGGCTAGATACAACAAGCAATTATCATAGTATTGCAAGCAATCCATAAGTCCCCTACCGGTTAGAACCCCATCAACATTCTGAAGGGCCATTGGCCATTCACTAATGTTTCAATTTTTCTCTATTTTAAGTAAACTTGTTGGAAAAGTTCTCTAAAAGTGATCACAGGAAACAGTTTTTATGAACAGACAGACAGACGGACTGAAGGACACTCTAAAGTTAATATTTGAAACATCCCTGTTACCAAAATATAACATTTTAAAAGCAAAATTCTTAAAGAGGAGATAACTCTTGAATTAAAGATGCAATTTCATAAAAATGTTCAGCTCTTTTTGACTAATCACAAATATTGTTATATTTGCCATGTTTTAAGCCTATTTGTTGCCAAGGCAACTGATATTTTTTCAAAATAGGAAGAACAGATAAGACATGCATAATCTCAAGACTGCTATCTACCCATATGTCAAGTTTCATAAAAATATTTACAGTACTTTTTGAGTTATCACTGGATTCAGTTTATGTGTAAAATTTGCCATATTTTCAGTCTATGTGTTGCCATAGCAACCAGAATTCTCAACATAGGAAGAAAAGAAAAAGACGTGCATAATCTCAAGACTGCCATCTACTCATATGTCAAGTTTCGTAAAAATATTTCCAGTACTTTTTGCTTTATCACTGGATCCAGTTTATGTGTAAAATTTGCTATATTTTCAGCCTATTTGTTGCCATAGCAACCAGAATTTTCAACATAGGAAGAAAAGAAAAAGACGTGCATAATCCCAAGACTGCCATCTACACATATGTCAAGTTTCATAAAAATATTTCCAGTACTTTTTGCGTTATCACTGGATCCAGTTTATGTGTAAAATTTGCCATATTTTCATCCTATTTGTTGCCATAGCAACCAGAATTTTCAACATAGGAAGAAAAGAAAAAGACGTGCATAATCTCCATACTGCCATCTATCCATATACCAAGTTTCATAAAAATATTTTCAGTACTTTTCAAGTTATCGCGGGATCCAGTTTTGTGGACGGATGGACTGACAGACAGACGGACGGACAGACGGACGGAGGGTAAACCTAAAGTCCCCTCCAGTAAACCGGTAGGGGACTAAAAAGACATACGTTTTTAGATACATGTATACCATTCCTTTAAGCAATTTAAACATGTGTATCTAATAATACAACAGCAATAAAAAAAATACTTGTACAGATATTTAACCTTTATGAACAACATTGAAAATGTAAGAAAATAATTGAATGGTTTCATTAATAAATGCAATATTTCAAAAATACATGAAAATGTAAGAATAAGTTGGCAATTAGTAAATACCTTTAAGAATCTTCATAGTAAGTGGCCTTAAAGAAAAAATTATAACCGATCATAATGGTTTGAAGATGGCACATTGTGAAACACAACTACAGTAAATAAGTCAAATATTTCATAAATATACATATCATAATCAACTTATTGGTCTGTTATTAAACATGATTCCAATCCAAAACATCTTAATCATTGCCGTCATTGTTTTTTTTTAATCTACAGATCTACGACTCTACATGTATTTAACATTCACACCCATGGTTCCCAGCCAACCCAAGTACGGCCTAAAATATTAGGGTCTGTAGCTTGATCAATGAGTGCTGCCACCTGTTGTTCTACAGTTAGACCGCTAGATGGTAATGTGAAACGTACATTGTCCTTCTGACCAAGAGCTACCATCTCATAATACTTAAATGCTGGTTTCTTGCCGTGGCCAAGTCTCAGCTCATCTCTGAAATTTACAAGTTACTGCATATAGTTGAAAGACTTGTGTACAACTAACTGTTTAACTTCCCTAATTCTCTACCTTTGTTCAAAGTTTATTTTAATACATTATACATTTACCTTAACCAAGAAATTTCATGATAATTCTAATTTTTTAGCCAGTACAGGTATACTGAAGGTGTCTGTACTGTATTACTGGAAAAAGAAGAAATATAAAATAAGACCACCTAACTAGTACTTCAAATCTCTGTAGTGTTCTCATATTGTATGATTTACTGTTTATAAAATGTATACCTTGTTATGTAAGCTGGATTCTCTCCCTTCAATTTTCTTTTTACATATCTAATCTTTTCCTTTGGGTACCACTCTATTATTTCCCCTTCTTGAGAGTACAATTCTACATCTGAAATATCAATAAAGTGATATATATGTATTACACAAATTTTTATTACTTTTTATCCTACAGAGAGAACAATATGTCCCCAACTCTGTTTTGTTACTGCACATACAAATTGGCTTATTACACAAGAGGGCCATGATGGCCCTGAGGTCGCTCACCTGTATATAGGCCACCGAAGCGGGGCTAGATTAAACCCCAGAGCTTTTATTTGAACAAACTTGGAATTAAGACACCCATTAGAAGATGTTTCATGATGTTAAGTTTTTGCTTTACACATATAAGGAAAAACAATGACCTTCTCCCCCCCCCCCTGGCAGAGTTAATTTTAACCCAAGGGCTTTGATTTGAACAAACTTGGTAGAAACCCATAAGATGTTTTATACTAAACATCTAAGCTCTAGCTCTGACAATGGGTTTTTTAAAAGAAGATTTTTTAAGTTTTTACTATACACATATAGTTAAAAACAATGACACCCCTGGGGCGGGGCCAGTTTTGACCCAAGGGCTTTTATTTGAACAAACTTTGTAGACACTTATAAGAAGATGTTTCATGCTTAATATCTAACTCTAGCTATTTGGGTTATATCAAAGAAGATTTTTTAAGTTTTTGCTATACACATATAAGGAAATCAATGACACCCAGGACGGGGCCAATTTTGACTAGGGGTGTAACAATACGGCAAAAACCGTATTGCAATATATTGCCATTTTGCTGAAGCGTATTGCAATATATTGCAATACGTATTGTCGTGTATATGTTTTGATATAAAGTCTTTTAAGATGGAGTAACATTATATATTATTATTATATGCATATATTTTTAGTAGAAACTTAATATAAATGTAAGGAATAAATAGAAAGTAAAGTGTCACACAATTTGATAAACAAAACTAGTCACATGTGACCTTTCACATCTGGGCCGCTTATGTAAATTATGCGGCCGCTTATTGATTTTTAAGTGTACTAATTGTCGGATACTTTTACATTACGTTGGTGCCAGCCAATAAAATTCGCCAATTAAAGATTTTATGTGAAATTTGTACAAAATTTGAAGGCAATTAATTGAAAATTATGATTTTTATAAAATACCGGTTTTCCAAAAATCGTACCGTGGTACGAAATTTATTTTTTCATATTGCAATATATCGGTATACCGGTAAACCGTTACACCCTTAATTTTGACCCCAGGGCTTTAATTTGAACAAACTTTGTAGACACTCACTAGAAGATGTTTCATGCTTAATGTCTAAACTCTAGCTATTTGGGATTTTTTCAAAGAGGTTTTTTAAGTTTTTGCTATACACATATAAGGAAAATCAATGACCCCCGGGGCAGGGCCAATTTTGACCCCAGGGCTTTTATTTGAACAAACTTGGTAGACACTTATTACAAAATGTTTCATGCTAAATATCTTAGCTCTAGCTCTTTGAGTTCTTTAAAAGAAGATTTTTTAAGTTTTCACTATATGCATATAGGGAAAATCAATGACCCCCCCTGGTGCGGGGGAATTTTGACCTCAGGGCTTTTATTTGAACGAACTTGGTAGACACTCACTAGAAGATGTTTCATGCTAAATATCTTAGCTCTAGCTCTTTGGGTTCTTCAAAAGAAGATTTTTTAAGTTTTTACTATATGTATATAGGGAAAATCAATGACCCCCTGGTGCGGGGCCAATTTTGACCCCAGGGCTTTTATTTGAACAAACTTGGTAGACACTCATAAGAAAATGTTTCATCCAAATATCTAACCTCTAGCTCTTTGGGTTCTTTAAAAGAAGATTTTTTAAGTTTTTACTATATGCATATAGGAAAAATCAATGAGCCCCTGGGGCAGGGCCAATTTTGACCCCAGGGCTTTTATTTGAACAAACTTGGTAGACACTCATTAGAAGATGTTTCATGCCAAATATCTAAGCTCTAGCTCTTTGGGTTCTTTAAAAGAAGATATTTAAAGTTTTTTCTTTCGGTTGCCATGGCAACCAGAGTTCTGCATGGAATTAAATTCTTTGAACAATTTTTAAAGGTGACCACCAAAGGAACATTCCTGTGAAGTTTGGATGAAATTGGCTTATTGGTTTATGAGGAGCATTTGAAGCAAAAGTTTACGGACGGATGCCGGACGGACGCCGGACGAAAAGCGATCACAAAAGCTCACCCTGTCACTTTGTGACAGGTGAGCAAACAAGTGTCTAGGAAAAAACGAGTGTAGCAAAAATATCTAAAACAGATACATGTGTACATGTAATTCATTGGTTTTTAGACCCATAATAAGGACATATAGTACATGTATAATAAGGACACATAGTAACAACTGCAATACACTGTTACAACTGTACTTTGAAAATAAATGACAGGGCATTGTTAACAGTTGAACAATATAAATATAAAGTTAATAATTTACCTTCCTCACACATACTCTGTACCTGCCGCTCCGCATTTTGCTGAAATGGAAAAACACAAAATCATGATAATTTCAAGGTAACCTTACAGATTCTTATACTTAAAATATGACCGAAACTTATATGAATGTGAAATTAGAACAAATGTATACAATAAGTTAACTGACCTGCCAGTCTAAAGAGGGTTCCTTCACAAACACATCCATGGTATTTAAGAGAAGATCTGAGTCTGACCTGAGAGCTCTCAGCACATGTATCATTGTACTCTCAATCAACCCCTTTACCTGTAGGGGCAACATCAAGTTACTGATCTGACGTGTCAATCTGAATGGCATCAACTCAGGGATAGGTAAAAACTAAAACAAAACAATATGTATTATCCATGTGTGTCAAACTATTCCTTTTGTCTGTAAATGTTCAAAATCAAAAACTTTACACAGGAATTAAATTCTACATCAAAGCTGTAAAGTTATTTTTGTATCTAAAAATACAGTTCTACATTTGCAAACATTAACAATAAATTCATTATTCATTTTTCTTAAAAAAGAAACCCAACTGATGCATATTACATACTCAATTTAATACAATCCTTCCATATATAATTATCAAGTACTAGAACAGTGTTCTGAAAGGACAAAAGTTATGAAATCATCTTACTGTAGTTGCTGATCCAAATGCATGTCCAAAGTCAATGCCAACCATTTCACCTGTCTTAAGGTTGACCATGAAGTTAGACTGATGCCTATCTCCTATACCCAGTATATACTGGCAGATAGACAACATGGCATGGGTCTTCATACAGTGGCTACGTAACACATGAAATGCTTCAGGACTTGTACTCAACTGCTGGAATGATCGCCTGAAACAATCACAGTATAATATCTACATAACATAACAATACATGTCCATACATACATTACTTATTTTATCAATATCTAAAATTTATTTCACTGGAATACAATTAGTGCCCAAATTCTCAATGTTCACAATATCACTTTCTTACTACATAACAACATTATTAATATCTTTGATGAATACATTACACAGATGAGTCTTTGAAAGTAATTTTTGATAGTCATAGGAAAAACTGGGCTGGCCCAACTGTGTTGCCTCTTTATATTAAGTGTTCATTATTATAATTTTAATCATTCTTACAATGCAGTTTTATGTAATACACAAAAATCATTTTTGCTTGTAACTATGCTGACTCCATAAAATGCAAATAAATGATACAAGAAAATGTACAATTAAATTTGAGGTACATGTACATAATTAATGAAATGTATGATATCATTTGCAATGTGGACTGAGCACATGCAGTCCAAACTGCAACAATTTGACAAGCACAAAAAGACTTTAATCTTCTTTTGGAGATAAATTCAAAGTAAAAAAATACTTCTAGATTTACAATATATGTATATATAGTTCATGAATGTGACAACATACCTAAATAAATCCCAAGGTACTTTACTTTCAGTAATACTAAGTTGTCTCTGGGTTTCTGTATAACTGTATTTACTGTATATATTCACATACTTTGTGGGCCAGGGATCATTCTTCTTCGCTACTTTTGAAACCCAACCATTAAATGCTGCATTTGGACCATGTCTAATGAATATATCAAGTAAAATTATTATATATTCAATGTCCTTGTTATATACACCAAACAATATCTTATCATTATCTATAAAATATATAAAACTATCTTCATATGTCAGTAAAAGTCTGACACAGTCATTAATACTATAATATAACTAGTTAACGATCTAAGAATCTCTAGCTCTGTGGGTAGGGGCAAGCCACTGTTTCCTAGATGATGAAACTTTACACTATTAATGCCCAGTAAGGGTTGGTTCAACAAACAGAATGGAGTGTCTATAAGCTTTTAGGTCCCTGCAAAACTTACAACAAAAAAATAAATTCTGTACAAACTAATATATGGTGTACAGCTACACAATAATACATCTGATCAGGATGACAATGTCTGAATATATTTACAGAAAAATCTACTAAAAGTTAATACAAATTTTGTCATAGGTGATATATATATGTCACTTACTCTCCACTAAATGCTTTCTTCTCCTGATCTGTCAATGAATTGATTATAAAGTCTTTTAATGGTATGGTGTTTGCTACCCACTCTATGAGTCCTACCCTGAAAATCATAGTTGCAAATAAATATAAAATTTATAACAATACTTATAATTCATAAAATTGTAATGAAACTTTGTTTTTTTTTTAATATTAAAGAACTGTTTTCAAATTACAAATGCAAACATCAAGTCTGTAAGACGTACATTTGTATATAACCAGTTTGATAAGATGAAAACAATCACATATATATAGAAATATCTTTCACAATCTATCTTAAATTTGTCCCCTGCCCAAAACTGTAATCATAAGCCAGTAAGGAAGCCAATGAAACTGAAATAACTTCCCATTTGTCTATATCCATTTGGTATTTAAGCTTTAATGTATATGAAAAATTTATTTCTGATTCTGTGAGCATACTCTAAAGGTCAACTAAATTGCTTACTTTATATTTTACTACAACTCCAAATGAAACCTTTACCTCACATTAAATACAAACAGTTCACCACTCACCTTGTAGTCATGGGTATAACCTGGTATGTTTTCAGACTAAGTTTCCTGTTGCGGCATGCAGGATCTTTATTGAACACCTGGTTCATGACGAAGAATAACTGTTCAATTCTCTGATCCTGACGTAAATCTTCACCAGCTTTCACCAGATAATTATAATCCTTCTCATCATTACCACGTATAGTTATACGCTTTGGTTTCCTCAATGATGTCATAACCTTAACCTATAATATATACAGATACATAATAATTCTTTAATTTCTACAATTTATGGAGATACATAATAATTCTTAAATTATTTGATTATGCTACCATAAAATGTCACTGTTGCAACTCAGAAGTTTATTTTAAAATCATCATATCTACATGTCAAGTTGGGTTATATTTAAGCATTATTTCAAGAAAGAGCACTACAAGTCATACCAGCCCATGTCTATTCAGGGCAACAACAAAAATTATTAAATTTAGGAGTGTTATGGCTGTTAATTCTTCATTCAATGAATAATTGAAATAATGTGTATATTCAAAATATGGGTATTTAAACAAAAGATTAATTATTTTTCTTATTAAAAGGGGGCAATACCCCAAATATATAGATTTCAGAATAATGCCCCCTGGTGTATAATCTCCCTTGTTTTGATAAGCAAGTATTTTAAGTTTCAAGTTGATATCTTTGAAGTTGTGAAATAATTCTACTTTACAATGAATTTTGAAAAAAAATCTCAGATGGAAAGAGCCATCACTACAAAAATAATGCTTTCAGAGTAGTGTTTCTTGACACTATAACAACTGCATCTTGTGGTGAAGAGCAATTATGCCAAGTGTCATGGTGATACCTTTAAAAGTATTTGAATAATGGCCTACATTAAAGTTTTTCATGACAACAATAAAAACTCAGTCATAATTCTTGTTCTCCAAAACAGACAAGCTAGAAATAATAATTCTCTGTATTTTATGAAAGTAAGACACCTACCCTTTGGTCAAAGCCAGCAATTTTAACATGATACTCGGGCAGAGGTTTACACAACCCTGTATATTGACCTGTAAGAGAAACACTCCTTGTATAATGTGATTCATTGATTGATTTCTCTAATAAAATAACAATGAAATCAGTTTGTTTTTTCTTTCTTCATTTAATTATGGCAATTATCAGATATTGATCCAGAAGGCTGCTGATAAATTGCTGTTCTACTTTGATATTACATGTAACTACATGTACTACATGCATATGTTTTTTTGAAATGCCTTGTACTTAGGTTTGCAATATATAGTATTCTATTCTATTCGTAAATCTGAAACTATTAGAAAATTCCAAGCTTCCTATATCAGTTGGAATTTCACATAAGTACCTTGGTCTTGCATAGATTAAGTATTAAGTAATATATGTACATGCATTGTGTTTTGAATATGTATTTTGTTTGAATGTACATTGTTTTTGTTGTGTTTTCATGTATATATTATGCATTTTGTGTCTTCATGTATGTTATTTGAAAATTTTGCTGTATAACCATTATGTAAATTATGTATATTTTATGTATATTTATGTTTTGAGGCCCACATGGAAGATTGGGAAACCAAATGTGTAGCCTCACTAAATAAAGACTTTACTTACTTACTTACTTACTTACTTACTAGTTACGACATACATGTATCTGTTCATTAATCATGTTTAAATCCTGTAACTTGAAGCATTTATTTGTTAAATATGAAAATCATACAAAAGCATACAATATCTACAAACCTGGAATTTCAAGATTTCTGCCATAGTTATTGGGATTAAAGTTTGACATCCATTTGGAGTACTCCTCTAGTTTCCCTGGTGGATGTAGTGCACATTTTGGTGCTTTAACTTGCTCATCAAATAATCCAAGTAACTGTCTCTTATTGGTGTCTAATTCCTACAACAGTGAAAAATTATTAAATGTTTCACATTCTAAGATTTTCTCATATTTTCATTTAGTTTTTATCAGTTTTGAATACGTAAAATTTTAATCAAGCTTCAACGTTTACCACCACATCATCTGTGAAATTTTGCCCCTTATTTCTTCCAAAAAATTTACTCTTTCATTAATTGGTGAAATAAATGTATAATTTCCTAACAGTAAATTAACTGTTTTATATCTACTATCAAAAGGATAAAACATTTTAAAGTGTTTTCTGTATATTTGATTAAAGTACACACAGTGTCAAACTGTTTAAGACGCAAATTTTTCTGTAACATACAATAAAAGTACCTTTAATGACATGCTTGCTAGTTTCTTCCCTTGTGGTCCAAATCGTTTATCAAATTCATCTTTAAATTTCTGAAAATGAGAAATGGTTCAGATAAGTCATCAAACAAACAGAGATTTTTTTATCAATATGAGGCGACAAAACTTACCCTTGTCTTTACAGTTTAGACAAGTAAAAAAAGAGTATATAATTTAGATTAACATCAACTAAAGTAATTAACGTGACCAAATTTTCATAACTTTTCTTACAATACTATATATCTAAGAATAAACTGTAAGTGTTACAAAACAACAACATATTAATATAATAATATCTCTATGTCATATCAAGTAAACAGCATTTCTAGTCAAAAACTTCTTCCTTTAGAGGTGTGATTTTAAAGTATACAAGAAACTTACATCAGCAAATTTTCTGGCATAACTGCCAATATCTAGTCCAGACTGTGACATTAACAAACTGGAATCATCATCATCTGGTCCAGTACTGTCCCCACTGGCTGATTTCTGTGACAACTTTGATCTTTGTGACTGCGATTTCTGTAATATACATATAGTTTCATAGCTTTACCATACTTTACTTTAACCTGTTAAATTTCTTGAATGAACTATCTAGCTTCCATTTGTTGGAACTGTCCATGATATCAGTATGAAATTGTGAAGCTGCACATCCAACAATCTGGAGCCTCCTCAGAAAGACTGTTCTGGCTCTAAACTCGTGGCAAAGACTAATCACATAACAACTCAGAAAGCAGATGATATTTTTTCAAAAACTTTGACGGAGAAAGATACCTTTATCAGTACCTAACAGCGTTTAGATTAGCCAGTGTCAAATTTGCTTTACAATATAATATTTCTTTCTCTGTTATAGTATCATATTATCACTTTTAACTTAATCAGTTTTTCTGCAGAAGGAAGCTTCCAAAAACTCTCTATATTACTTTATTAATTCCAGTGTTAGTTTAATTAATAGTAAGAGATACAACCAGTCTTCGAGTGTAATCCAGGCCAGCCTGCACATCCATGAAATCTATTGAAACTTAAATAGTTGACTGATAAACTTGCCATTATTTCATTCTGATATCCCAACAGTTCATAAACAGACCATATCAAAAAGGAAAATCCTGTTTTTCTGATACAGCAGGTTGTGTAAATACATGCAAATTAGTTATATATGGATTATTAATTAATTATTATCATGGAAGCATTTCTCAAAATTTACCTGGGATTTAGGAGGTTTTGCCTCTTCTTTTTCTCTGTTCTTGTAATCTAATATCTTCCTGTATATCTCATTGTACAGATTCACAGCCTTTGACTTGGCACCTTTCTTCAACAATTTCATCATTTCCTCAAAAGAGTCCTATCAAATATGCAATAAATCTATTTTTACATTTACAATGCTGGAAAACATTAAAATAAATATGTTCCAACTACAAAATATATTTTAAATTTGTTGGGTGAAAAACAACCATTATATCCATACATGTTCATTTCTGTAATGCTGCAAAATACATGTATGCTATTAATTCAACTACTATATGTTCATAATTTTTAAGGAAAACATCAAAATAAAAGAAGAGCTATTAAGTAAATAAAAACTCCCTGCAAATCTTAAATTCCGAAATAGTTTTAAAAAGGCCAAGTACTTTATCAACTACATTTATCTAGCATTTATAATCAGGAATCTAATGTTCTGATATGTGATTAAGGCCTGCAAAAGTATTCACCATATGAAACAATAGTCAAGAATCAGTAATGGACTGTTTTTATGTTACTGAGGTCGACACAATACTGACCTTGAACTCCTGGTCTGGCTGACTGAAGCAATCTAATGCTGACATAAACTTATCAGCCAAAGGCACCTTCTCTGGTCCTAGTAAGCCAACAATTCTGTAAATGAAATCATATATAAGTTGTGTCTGATAATGTATTCTTTCTTCTGTTAAACTTTAGGTCAAATGATATGATAGATGTATCAACAGCTGTACTGAGGACATTATCTCAGGCACAAGTTAGCTGCTCAGCTCATAGTTAGTATTGTATTAACTTAAAATTATGTTACCATTTTTTGTTTAATATTTTACGTGAACTATATTTACTACCTGTCAACTACATCCTTGTTCAGTTTATCATGTTTCGATCCATTAAATTTGTAACCTTCTTCACTCAACTTCATAGGGTATATCACAGCCTGAAATTTAACAACATATTATCATTGAACCAAGAAACTGTCATACTAACAAAAACAGTAAAAAATTTTAAATGATAAATCTTGGTGTATTTCTTAAATATATATAAAAGGTATACTTCCAAATTAGTTTGATTTAAATACAACTGAAATACAAATATCTAAAATAACTTAATAAAGTCATCTTAAGCTGTCCACTGCTCCTTAGAGTTTAGTTATTCAAGCATGTAATAACCTCATATAATAATTGCATATATTTCATTAAAATTGATTAAAACATCCATGTAGAGAAAATGACAACTCTCTCTAAAGAAAAGAAAGTCTTTTTAAAAATCTTGATGAAAGAAAGACATTTAATTTTCATTGCCCGAATATTATTATCATTATTATCAATAAAGATAAAAGACCTGTGGGTAAATAGTTGCAATTTGTTCTACGATACTGTGTACGGCTCTGGCTTCTGGTTTGTCTAAAATAGCCAGCATTTGACTGATCCATAATAAAAACATCCAACATGGAACCTCACCACTCTGAAATATTAGTTAACAATAATGTATGAGTAGAAATAACTTAAAAACTAACATCTACCCACTTTCCTTTCTGTCAATGATCTTATACAAATGATAATTATCACCATATTATTAGTATTGCAATAAGAGACTACTTTATATAGTCTTAATATGGTCTTAATGTAACTTTTTGTTTAAATATGGTAGTTATTAATTCTATTCTTATATCTGATTCATTATAATCAAATCAAAACTGTTTAATGTAATGTTGGTCAATTAATAAGATATCATGTAAGACATAATTATGTATTACGATGAGCAGCTACATGTACATAGAAAAGTTTTGATTTTTGAAAAAAAAAAGAAAGAAAAAATAAAGAAGAAAAGAAAGAAAAAAAGAACAACTTTCAATTTAAACACATATAATATAATTTCTAGATATTCACCTCTAGATTAGTATTAATATTTCTAAAAACTTACATAACTGTAATAAGTAACAATTGTATACAAACATAGCCTAATGCATCATCTCTCCACATTAATAGCTGTCACCAAGAACTTAGCAAATGTAGGTTTTTCTAAGCTAAATACCCAAGTAAAATCAGATCAGCTTAATTATTGTAGCATACCTTAGCAACAAAAGTTGACATTGTATCTGGATACATCTCAACAATCTGTAGTAACCGTGGAAACCTTTGTCGAGCTTCCATAGAATTTAACTTCATTGCTTTCAAAATACATATCACAACAGTTTCTGGGAAAGATTTAATACAGTTTCTCCCAATTGTCATCTCCTCTGAAATCAAATGATTTATATTACATGTTTTACTTCAGCTTCAAATACATTTAGAACATAAAATACTTATTTAATTGATCAACAGCGGCTGAAAAGGTCTTTTCAGTCAATATGACACATGGGTAAAACTAATCTATTTATAAATGCCTTGTTTTCAATGGAGTACAGTACAGCCTCTGTGGAGCAACACCATATGTGACATACAAAAATCATTGCTGTTGTGAAAACTTGCTCTAAACAAGCTGAATTTATTATGAATCTTTACATGGACAAATTGATACCATTGTTTTAAAGAGGTAGCTTGTCTTCAGGGAGCCATTGCACTATAACAACTATTAAGTATATTTATATTGCATGTAATCAACATAAACTGACATTACACTATGGATGCTTTGAAGTAAATAGGTGATGTCATCTAAACTAATGGTGCATAGTGGTGATATCAAGATATTTTATTCCTGTGATAATTTTTTTTATATATATTTCCTGATTATGATATCTAAAAAGCATACTCTACATTATACATCTCACAAATGTTAAAAAGCATTTTACAAACAATATAATGCATTATAAAATTGTTTCATAGTTAATATGAAATATCCCATAAGATCATAATCATATATAGGTTTATTATAATGTTTTACCATCTTCTTTAAGCCTGAGGATAGTGTCACAGTATTTAGCTGTAGCCAGGTAGGCCTGGTCCTGGGTGTAACTACCACAGCTATCTGTCCCTGTAACATCTTCTACAGCCAGAGATCCCTTCATCTTCTCATAACCATCACCCACTAACCTCTCTGTTAGCTAAACAGCAAGCAATACAGTACATTGTAAATGTATAGATAAACATTAGTCAAACATTACAAAATACTTAATAATATTTATGTATTTGTGTCATATGTCTGGTTGTCATGTTGATTTTAACACATTTTTTGGTCCTATCTTGGCAGTTGGCCATCCTAATCAGCTTTCCTGGATAACTAACCAGTAATAACCAAATTCTCCACAAGTAACAGACAACTAGACTGAAGAATTCTGACTTAGTGCTGAGAGAAAAAATAGACATTTCCTCATGCCAGAGATTAACTTTCACAAAGAAATTTCTTCTTAAAAAAAGGACTGAACCTGTGACCTTTATTACAGATCAGATGCTCTTCCTCTATAGTTAAACCAATGATCATGTCTTTGAATAAAAAGGTAAGTAATCAAGTCTGAAAATCTGAATTACTTATGCACACTTTAAAGCTTACTGATTAGCATTACTCATTTACCTATGTCCCTAAGAAATGTTAAAATGGTGCGGACTGGTGTCATTAATATGCTGATTTATAAGATTTACATACCTCTAATTTATCTAGTTTTTTCAGTCCAGTATAATCCAGCAGTTTCTGGCCAGCTTTTGTTCCATTTAATTTCTTTAAATCAATATCCTGGAGTCCTAGTGCCAAAAGTTCACGCCCTTGACCACCAAGAATAAAATGTTGCCTTCCAAGACTGGCGTTAGCTGCAAGAGCTTCAACATCCTCAATTTTACCTGTTACAAATTAATTCATATCTTCATGTAAGAAATCAGTTAATAGAATGAGAGTGATGATAGTGTAATCAGCTGCAATTGTCTTATACTCAAGCCCCAACCATCACTTTAGCGCAGACCTCACCCCCTCTGCTTCTTCCCCTGTTTGGTGTCTCAATGAATATCTTTACATAGGTAATGTTTGGCTTGACTATGTTAGGGTTAGCATTTGAGAACAATGCTCTCCCTTGATGAACATTTTCTCATGTTTAATAAAAACAATTACACTAATTGACTGGGTAAAAGATATTCAATCAATGGTGTAATGTCACATCTTTTATGACATCATGAATATTTATGAATATAAAGTAGTATAGTAGTATATACATAGGTAACAGTCATGTTGGGTTTCTTTGTCTGTATTTTTGAAGAGTACTGACTTGTTTTGAATATTCTAATTTGATATATGAAAACAGATCTTTACAAAATGAAAAATAAGGTACATGTACATCAAACAAGTTTCATTCAATAAATCTTTAATTCATGACAAAACAAAATAGATGACAAGCAATATAATATTAAAAATAACATTAACAACATATATACTGTAAACATACCTAGTTGATCTAGTGTAGTACACAAACTGTTTAAGCTGTCCTCTGATGGAGGTTCTAGAGAAGCTTGAATCTTCTTATGATGTGTGCTGGCATATAGGTGAGTCCAGTTACATATCAGAGACTCATTATCAGCTCTCTTACATGCCTGAATAATTAAAACGAAATGATTATATAGTGTATTAAAATGAAACAAAAAAACTTTTTATATTACTTTGAAACAAAATGCCAAATACATAAAAAATAATAAATAAATTCTAAAGCATTTCATGAGATAAACTGAACTGAACTTTTCAAACTCTCTTTAAAATTGTTTCTAACTTAAGTCTCGTTACATTTAGCAAATAAAATGGTACATTTCTAAGAATTATAACATACAGAATGTGTATCTTTGAGTATTTTCAGTGTGAGAGTAAAGTTATTTTGTTCTCTACAACTTGTAGCCATCTTGAGTTTCAGTTTAAGTTTGGTGTCTATGAACATATCATCATCATCATCGTCTATCTGAGAATCATCCAGCTTCTGTAGTCTACTGCTGATATGGTCGAGATATACTGACCTATAACAAGATAAAACTTTCTGTATGAAAAATACTTCTATCTTCTCATTTTTATATGCCCGAAAGAATTTCGGGCATATTATGTTATACCCCCTGGCATCCGTCCGTCTGTCCAGCCGTTAGCAATTTGGTTTCCGGAGCATAACTTAAGTTCCATTTGGCCCACAATATTCAAACTTCATAGGATGATTGCCCATATTGGGTAGAAGACCCCTATTGAATTTGGGGTCACAAGGTCAAAAGTCAAGGTCACTATGACCTTAAAACTGAAAACAGTTTCCGGAGCATAACTTAAGTTCCATTTGAGCCACAGTGTTCAAACTTCGTAGGATGATTGTCCATATTAGGTAGAAGACCCCTATTGATTTTGGGGTCACAAGGTCAAAGGTCAAGGTCACTATGACTTTAAAACTGAAAACAGTTTCCGGAGCATAACTTAAGTTTCTTATGGCCCACAGTGTTCAAACTTCATAGGATGATTGTCCATTTTGGGTAGAAGACCCCTATCAATTTTGGGGTCACAAGGTCAAAGTCACTATGACCTTAAAACTGAAAACAGTTTCTGGAGCATAACTTAAGTTCCATTTGGCCCACAGTGTTCAAACTTCATAGGATGATTGTCCATATTGGGTAAAAGACCCCTTTTGATTTTAGGGTCACAAGGTCAAAGTCACTGTTACCTTAAAACTAAAAACAGTTTCCAGAGCATAACTTAAGTTCTTTTTGGCCCACAATGTTCAAACTTCATAGGATGATTGTCCATATTGGGTAGAAGACCCCTATTGATTTTGGGGTCAGAAGGTCAAAGTCACTGTTACTTAAAAATTGAAAACAGTTTCTTGAGCATAACTTAAGTTCCATTTGGCCCACAATATTCAAACTTTAAAGGATGATTGTCCATATTGGGTAGAAGACCCCTATTGATTTTGGGGTCACAAGGTCAAAGTCACTGTTATCTTAAAACTGAAAACAGTTTTCGGAACATAACTTAAGTTTCATTTGGCCCACTGTGTTTTAACTTTATAGTATGATTGTCCAAATTAAGTAGAAGACCCCTATTGATTTTGGGGTCACAAGGTCAAAGGTCAAGGTCACTATTACCTTAGAACTGAAAACATTTTCCGGGGCATAACTTAAGTTCCATTTGGACCACAATATTGTAACTTCAAAGGATTGTTATTTGAAGGAGGTCATACTTTATTTAATTTCCATGTCTTACAAATGCTTCATCTTTACTTAAAAAAAAAATCACTTTCGGGCATATAATGCTTTGCCTAGCGGTGCTCTTGTTGACCTTGCAATTATGAGAATACTTTAGTCATTTTACCCCTTCTGCAGATGCAAAAAAAAAAAGATCTTGACAACGACTATAAAAGTGAGATATATACAAGACAGCTTATAGCTGAATAAAAAGATCTGACTCATTATTTATGTCAAGAAACAGTTTTACAATTTTTCCATTCAAGGGACAAGTTCATGTTTCTTGGACTCATGTGGAGCAGTGAAAACACTGCAGGACACAATAAGTGTGTTTATACCTATTGGTTACAACATCATCCCATATAGTGACAGGATCAGTAAGAAGATGTGGTGTTCTCTTACTCCAACCCTTCACTAGTGATTGAGCTGGTCCTACTGTACGAAAATTGTCTGAAAAATATATATACTGTAATCAGTTAACAAACCTCCCTAGCATCATGATTTTACGAAAATTTATAAAATTAACACTCTACTTTTTAAATTTATCCTCATCCTTCAATAAAAAATTAATTTTTACATAGAAAAAATAATTCAACAATTTTTATAGAGGTAAATTACTGATCATGGTCCACTTGAGATTGTCAATGCAAATTTTATCAAAGATAAAGAAATTAAAAAATAAAAAAAAAACAACAAAAACAAACTATCTGGACTGTACATAATTCATGGACCTGGCATTTTCATTCTTAATATCACAATTAAATAAATCTAAACTCCTAAAATTAAGTCTTAGTTTGATATATACAGGTATTAAGGTAAACTATCATACTTTCATCTGATATGAAATGAAGGAACTCATGCATCTCTGTAAGTGGCTGTAGTTTCTGTAGAGCTGTACTTCTACTGTTTGTCATCAATGTATCTGTACTGCTCCATTCCTTATAAAATAAATATCTTTATATCTATAGCAGTCTTAGTTTACATCTGCTTAAACACAATATAATGTTATAGTAGAACTCTTACCTTTCCTATGTACACCGTCTCTAACATCTGCACATTTGTTGTTTGAAATTATTTAAATAAACACATGTACATTTGACCTCCAAACAGACCTTGGCTATGAGTATTTAAACAAGAGCTGTCAGAAGGACAGCGCGCTCGACTTTTTTAGTGCTTGCCTATAAAACAAAACTTTGACAGTTAAGGGCACACAAGACTTTAACTAGGAATTTCTAAGTACAAATCAAGAAACATTTTCACAGAGTTATCTTCTCTTGCTTACAAATAGGTCTCATGATGGCACATAAGAACTCCAACTTCCAAAGTAATATCTCAAATGGTTAAGTCAACAAGTGGACAAGAATGAAAATTTTAACTGAGTTTCTAAGTCAAAAAGGGCCATAATTCAAATAAAATCCTTGACAGAATTACCTTCTCCTGGACATGTTTGGGAATCATGATTGTAAACAAGTATTCCAACTTTCAAATTAATATCTCAAACAGTTCAGTCAAAAAGTGGACTGGTACTAAAAACTTAACCAAGATTCTAAGTCGATAAAAGGCCTTAATTTTTAAAAACAAATCCTTGACAGAGTTACCTTCTCTTGCGTACAGATGGGGGTAATGATGTGAAATAGCATTAAAAGTTTCAAAGCAATATCTCAAAGGGTTAAGGCAATAAGTGGATTTTACCCATATTCAATGTATTTTCTAAGTCAAAAAGGGGCATAATTCTGTCAAAAACCTTGACAGAGTTATGTCCTCTTGTCTGTTGATGAAGGTCATGATGGTAAACAAGTATGGTCAGTTTCAAAGCAATACCTCCAATGGTTTTGAAATAAAGTGAGGTGGTACAAAAAACTTAACCAAGCTCAAGACACTTTCTAAGTCAAAAAAGGGCCATAATTCTGTCAAAAACATTGACAGAGTTATGTACTCTTGTCTGTTGATGGAGGTTATGATGGTGAACAAGTATGGTAAGTTTCAAAGCCATACTTGTAATACTTCTGAAATAAAGTGGGGTGGTACGAAAAACTTAACCAAGGTGTGACGCCGACGCCGACGCCGATGCCGGGGCGAGTAGGATAGCTCCCCTTTTCATAGAAAAGTCGAGCTAAAAATTAATATCTCAAACAGTTCAGTCAAAAAGTGGACTGGTACTAAAAACTTAACCAAGATTCTAAGTCGATAAAAGGCCTTAATTTTTAAAACAAATCCTTGACAGAGTTACCTTCTCTTGCGTACAGATGGGGGTAATGATGTGAAATAGCATTAAAAGTTTCAAAGCAATATCTCAAAGGGTTAAGGCAATAAGTGGATTTTACCCATATTCAATGTATTTTCTAAGTCAAAAAGGGGCATAATTCTGTCAAAAACCTTGACAGAGTTATGTCCTCTTGTCTGTTGATGAAGGTCGTGATGGTAAACAAGTATGGTCAGTTTCAAAGCAATACCTCCAATGGTTTTGAAATAAAGTGAGGTGGTACAAAAAACTTAACCAAGCTCAATACACTTTCTAAGTCAAAAAAGGGCCATAATTCTGTCAAAAAACCTTGACAGAGTTATGTACTCTTGTCTGTAGATGGAGGTTATGATGGTGAACAAGTATGGTAAGTTTCAAAGCCATACTTGTAATACTTCTGAAATAAAGTGGGGTGGTACGAAAAACTTAACCAAGGTGTGACGCCAACGCCAACGCCGACGCCGACGCCGGGGCGAGTAGGATAGCTCCCCTTTTCATAGAAAAGTCGAGCTAAAAATTACACTCTGTGTTATGTTTAAGTTCTCCTATCTATAAATTATCTGATTATTAAGCAGTGTTTCTGTGATATTATTACAAAGTACATTTAACTCATTCGTTTAAACAGTAAGTTTTGTGTTTTCAGTTGTTAAGTAATTGTTCCTTAAATCTTAATCTATGCGATGTATTCATCAAACTATAAAATATTTGCAGATATCTTTTTATAGTTCCCTAGCAAGTGTGTCAAGTTTATCATATATAATGAATGGATATATACAACATGAGACCTGCACACTGTAGAAGGTAAAATAATGTAGATTACCTGTAGAAAGAAGTCTAGGGCAGTTTTACAGTAATGTTTGGCTCTATCATAATCCTCCTGCCACAGATACATCAAAGCTAACTCCTCACTGTAACTGTTCTAAAATACAAATACATCCAACTTAAATATCCTTGTTTCTGTAGACTTATATCAGTAAAATGCCTTACATACCTTATAATATTCAAATTCTTTATTCTGTCTTTACACAAGAAATTATGGCAATTTATTGTATTATATAAGTGTTGAAATCATTGACAACTGTATGAGAAAGGGTAGTGCATACTCGAAACTAGTAATTTTTTAACAATTTTTTAAACATGTTCCAATGTTGTTGTGACTGTTCCTCTCATTTAAGTTACTGTAATTATATGACTTGTAGATAGATTTAGTTTCTTATCATCGGTAAAAGTGTGGTTTCTTCGTATTCTTCCTTTTCATCCCGATTGATACAAATAGTTTATGGAAATATTCATACATATTAATACTTCAAAGCATGCAATTTAAAAGAAAACGATACCTCTAGAACTAGTTTTTGTTCAGGTATTCTCATAGACTCATCAACAAAGTTGAGTAAAGACTGTTGATTCTCATCACCTTGTAACATCAACTTTACCTTGCTCTTCAAGATGTAAGGCAAAAAATGTTCCTGTAAAAATAAAAATTGTTTCAATTAACATCAACACTACAAGAGGGCCATGATGGCCCTGATGTCGCTCACCTGTATATAGCCCCCCCCCGGCCAATTTTTACCCAAGGGCTTTTATTTGTTTATTTGAACACACTTGGTAGACACCCATAAGAAGATGTTTCATGCTAAACATCTAAGTTCTAGCTCATTGGGTTTTTTAAAAGAAGATTTTTTAAGTTTTTACTATACACATATAGTTAAAAACAATGACACCCCTGGGGCAGGGCCAGTTTTGACCCCCGGGCTTTTATTTGAACAAACTTTGTAGATATTTACTTAAAGATGTTTCATGCTTAATATCTAAACTCTAGCTATTTGGGTTTTTTCAAAGAAGATTTTTAAGTTTTTGCTATACACATATCAGGAAAATCGATGACCCTCGGGGCGGGGCCAGTTTTGACCCCAGGGCTTTTATTTGAACATACTTGGTAGACACCCATTAGAACATGTTTCATGCTAAATATCTTAGCTCTAGCTCTTTGGGTTCTTTAAAAGAAGATTTTTTAAGTTTTGAATATATGCATATAGGGAAAATCAATGACCCCCTGGGGCGGGGCCAATTTTGACCCCAGGGCTTTTATTTGAACAAACTTGGTAGACATTCACTAGAAGATGTTTCATGCCAAATATCTAAGCTCTAGCTCTTAAGGTTCTCTTTAAAAGAAGATTTTTTTAAGTTTTTACTATATGCATATAGGGAAAATCAATGACCCCCCGGGGCGGGGCCAATTTTGACCCCAGGGCTTTTATTTGAACAAACTTGGTAGACACTCATTAGAAGATGTTTCATGCCAAATATCTTAGCTCTAGCTCTTTGGGTTCTTTAAAAGAAGATTTTTTAAGTTTTTACTATATGCATATAGGGAAAGTTAATGACCCCCTGGGGCGGGGCCAATTTTGACCCCAGGGCTTTTATTTGAACAAACTTGGTAGACATTCACTAGAAGATGTTTCATGCCAAATATCTAAGCTCTAGCTCTTACAGTTCTTTAAAAGAAGATTTTTTAAGTTTTTACTATATGCATATAGGGAAAATCAATGACCCCCCGGGGCGGGGCCAATTTTGACCCCAGGGCTTTTATTTGAACAAACTTGGTAGACACTCACTAGAAGATGTTTCATGCCAAATATCTTAGCTCTAGCTCTTTGGGTTCTTTAAAAGAAGATTTTTTAAGTTTTCACTATATGCATATAGGGAAAATCAATGACCCCCTGGGGCGGGGCCAATTTTGACCCCAGGGCTTTTATTTGAACAAACTTGGTAGACACTCATTAGAAGATGTTTCATGCAAAATATCTAAGGTCTAGCTCTTACGGTTATTTAAAAGAAGATATTTAAAGTTCTGCATGGAATTAAATTCTTTGAACAATTTTTAAAGGTGACCACCAAAGGAACATTCCTGTAAAGTTTGGATGAAATTGGCTCAGTGGTTTATGAGGAGATGTCATTTAAAGCAAAAGTTTACGGACGGACGACGGACGGACGCCGGACGAAAAGCGATCACAAAAGCTCACCCTGTCACTTTGTGACAGGTGAGCTAAAAAAGGTCTCTAACATTTGAAGCTTCACTAGTGAAAATAAGCCCATCTTACTTGTATGTTGCCTTCATGGCAAATTTACATAAAGCTCAATTTGGTACTTTAAGTCATTCATAGCCAGTGCCATTAATTAAATGACTTTGCTAAGTGTCATACAAATAAGAAACCACACCTCTTTCCTAATACCCTCCTAATAAAGGTTACAACTTATGGTCACACACATGAATAAAACTAAATAGTTTACGCATTAGAAAGATTTTTCAACATTTAAAATTTTGTAAAAGGCCACATAATTTTTTCAGGGCCTTTGCCTTCAATAGCTAGCAAAGATCTTAATTTTGGAAATAGATTGAGCATTATGTTTTACTTCAAAATTTGACACATTGGATAAAATTTCAAAAACCCAGATTTCACTGGCAAAACATGTTTGATCCTGATAGGGTCCATAGCTAGAGCTGATGAATGCTAGTTTTGTTAGTTTGTTGGAAGTGAGAAAATGTTAAAATAACATGCCATTGAATCAGATTTACCTGTAGAAATGTATCTTCCCAGACTTTGGAGAGATCAGGAGGACTGCCATCATCTACAGCTTCACAGGTAACTACCTCCAATGTGTCCCACTGTGACAAGTGGCTTAGACACTGAAAGTAAAATACATGCAGTAAATATTTAAAAATATACAAATACTATCTAACAAAAATACCATCCAGGAGGTAATTGGGGCAATGACCATCATATAACAAACTTACATAAATAATATCATATAGGTAAATAAAAATAAATTTGTAACATTGATCAAATCATACTCCCTTATACAACCAGTAATAGCTGTGACATAAGCCTAAAGTTGTGTTATTAAACATACATAATAGGAATGATTCACTAAGTCTGAGTCTGTTCATGAGAGATAATGTAAAAGTGCAATATCTCTACAGCGGTATTCAATCTTCAACACTAATATGCTGCGATCAAAAATTGGAAAACATCAATTACACCCATAAACAGTTTCAATATGAACTACGTAAATAACCGAGGTATATCCTGTAAAAAAATATGAGTTGTTTCCCTTATCTTCGAGTAAAATTGATATCTCTTATGCTAAAACAATACAAATTAAGCCGTTTTTAAACCGCTATTTTGTTGTGATTTAATGTTCTATTTTAAAATATATTACACCAATGGAAAGCTTTGGATTTTAGCTTAATTACAGTATAAACTTCAACACATCGTTTGACACCAAAGTATTTAAATTAACTGTTAAACCAACAATATGTCAAACCATTTTACTTAAGATTTATAGTGAGATAAGCACCCAGTAATCTTTACTCGAAAAACTACTGATAAGAATAGCCTGTCGTCTGCTAGTTTGGAAAGTGTTTATCGGTGTATAAACAACAATAGTTAATGCTGATTTGAGTGTTATTTGCAACTTTTATTTCCACACAAGACATATCTTAGCACATGTATGACATATAGGAATAGAATTATATATGTTTTATACCTCCATTCTACAGTCATCCCACAGGTCAACCTCCGCCACAAGTGGACTATCACCAGGCCAATCTTCTGTTCCCATTGCCTGTAGTATTTATCATATATAGAACTGACATCAGTGAGTCAATAATAATACTAAATCATTTAGTTTAGTGATTGCTATAATTAAGCAAGATAAAAAAAATATGGAACATTCAGTCAACAAGGTAAGTAAGACAGAGTGTTTGACTATTCTCAGTGATTGACAGTAAGAATAGGGTAATTATAGCAAGTATGCCCATCATGTTAAAAAATCAGAGAGAACAAGTGTGTGAAGTTTCCACCCATTCCCTTCAGTAGTATTGAAGATAAAAAGTAGATTCAGATAGGTTATAATTCAATTAACATATTCTACATTTTTGATGTGATCCAATAAGAACCAGAGTTCTTGCAGTAATTATACCTCATCATAAAGTTTCCTAGCAGCTGAGTAATCTCCCCTGGCTTCAGCTTCTACTGCCTTCTGAGTAATAGACTGTGTCCCTATTTTACCACTAAATATACCTAGTAATACATCATACTCATCCACTGACTTGTACAGTCTACAATCAGAATACGTGTGATATTAGTCTCATTCAAAACATAAAATAGAATTAAGTTTATTAATAACCTACAGCAGAATTCATATAGTTATCAGATCAGAGATGAATCAATAAATATTTGTTGCAATTATCTTTTTGGTTGAGTTCTTAAGTCAATACAACACTATGGGGACTTCAAGCTTTGTTGGTGAAGAGCACAATGCTCCTCCATACTTCATTTCAACATATACAAGAGTGAGCACTTAGAACCATTGACCTTTAAGCATATGCTGGTACACGAGTAGAGCCAGACCATCTATAAGCTAGCAGGATAGCTTTCTCAATCCAAAGTCCCTGATAGGATTCAAACCAATCGCAGGCTCTTATTTTATTACCAAACTTGATAAACAAAAATCAACTTAAGATGCATACAAAAAATAAGTATTACTACAAAAACAAATCAGTCAGTCTATAACCTAGCTAGTTCAATCCAGTGTGTAACTTCTTTAGAGATTGGAGCTTCTGTTCTTCCTCTCTTGGCAGCACGAGCTTCACCAGGTTCATGTATGATCAACTGTTCTTCCAACACTGCTATACCGAGAGGTTGTAGTTTACTAAACACTGCACTACTACCAACGTTTGATACATCAACTTTCAACTGTGATCTCAGGTTGAACAGAATATCCTGTATACAATATATATATATACAATTCATATAAACATTCTAACATCACTTAATAACAAATTTATTTAACCATATTATTTTTGTCATACATGTACCTTTTATCAATATATATTGTAAAAATAAAGTGTCAACATTTAAACACTAAAAGTTAATAATTCCAACAATAAATTTTGCTTTTGAAATAAGCACATGTCAGAAATTTATCATTGATTACATATTAAAAACCTTGATTAAAACTATCTCAATATTTTGGCATTAACTTTGTTACTAACAATGAAGTTTTGTAATACCATGTCTCTTTCATACTATTGCTAAATGAATTCCCCTTACAAATAATTAAAGTAGGATTTTTGCAAACAGATTCTTTTAGAGATATTACAAAAGAAATTGCAAGAACAAAACAAGAACAATAACAGACATGCATAATTATATTTTGGTCACTTTATCAACATAAGTGCAAGAATTGTTGTCAGTTTTGTTTCTTTAGAATTTAATAATTTTTTTACATGACTTACCAGAACACAAGCAATGAAAGGTGGGTAATATCTGGTGGACAAAGAGAGGATATTATCTAAGCTCTTGTTGATCTGATCTATAGTTTCTCCCATTTCTCTCTCCGTCTTTACCTCATCCATGTTGGCAAATATTGCCTGGAATATTGCACTTAGTAACAGCTTAGCTACAGTACTGTCTCTCTGTAAAACAACATTTTAACAAACTACAATAGAAACAGATTATATACCTTCCTTATTTCTGTAAGCGGCTGATGATGACAGATACGTAAATGTAGAAACAAGTATAACAAATAACTTCATGAGAAACGGGATCAAGATTTTTTGGGCAGGTTGAGTTTTAAGTTGGTCAGTATAGGTCATATGAGGACTTTCAAGCTTAATTGGTAGAGGAAAACCTCAGCTACCACTCTGTACATTATTTTAGGCAAAAACGAGTACCTAAGTAGAACCATTGATGTTCTGCAAGCTAGCTGGATAGCTTTCTCAAATGTAGAATCTGACAACACTTGTCTTATCAAACCTACAGCTTTGAGATGCAAGTGTTTTGAAGTTAACAATCTTAATCACTCAGTCACACTTGCACCCTGGGTCAAGAATCAGTTAGATTTAATACTATTGTGTACATACCAATCATTATATAAGTTTATATTTTAAATGTAGCCTTCTTAAATAACAATTAAATATGAACACATACATGTGCAAGAGCTTGTAGAGGCGCTATGATGTAGGAATATTTTATCTGTATATCTGGTAAATCTCCAGCACGATATTTACGATACATGGTCACCTGATTTTCTCTTCTAACCTTCTGCTCCCTCTGTGCTATCTGTAACACATAAATAAATATATAATAACATATCCATTTTCAAAGAATTGACAGACAATTTATCTATAGCGACCACAAAAGAAAATTCAGGATAAAAATCAAAGCTTGAACCATAATCAACATCATTAACCAAATTTAGCTTCAATAACATAAAATGATGAGATATGTCATAGTTAATTATCAAACAATTTAATCATTTCTGAATCTGATTGTACAGTGTAATTATAAACAGAAGATAAATGAAGAAATAAAACATCATATAGGTAACACTACATACCTCTCTCATCTGTTTTATCCTGGTTTGTTGTTTAGCAAAGAAGATCCGAGACTGTTCTCGGTCCTTTAAAAATCTACGCTTTAATCTGAATAGTTCACTCCCTTCATCAGATTCTGTAATCATATACTGATATATGTTAACTTCAATTTACATGTAAATATTTTCTGTGTAACCTTACCTTTTTATGTAATTATATATAAGTTTAAAGTCACAGCAACAATATTTATTTACCAAGTGAAATCTTGTTACAGGCCATATTCGTTTCAATTTTGAATGGTGATAATGACAATAGATAAGAATGAAATAAAGAATTTTGTTTTGTTTTGTTTTGGTTTTACGTCACATCGACACAGTATAGGTCATATCGCGACGTTCCAGCTTTACTGGTGGAGGAAGACCTCAGGTGCCCTTCCGTGCATTATTTCAGGCACGAACGGGCACCTGAGTAGAACCACTGACGTTCCGTAAGCTAGCTGGATAGCTTCCTCACATGAAAGAATCCAAAGTCCCTGCCGGGATTCGAACCCACAGCGGTGAGGGGCAAGTGGTTTGAAGTCAACGACCTTAACCACACGGCCACGGACGAAATGAATACTTAACATGTCTCAAGTTGTCATTTGAAAACCCAGAGTTCAGACCAGCTAACTTAACATTAACCCTTTACCACATATATACGCGAAACAACGCACTTTCCACCCCCCCCTCCCTTTTATTAGGCCTCAAATAGTGAAAAAATGTCCTATTTGGGCTCCAAACATAAGTTTTCATTTGAGAAATATTGCTTAAAAAGTTGAGCACTTTTTCGGCGCCGCCCCCCAATCAAAAGATACATCAGGGGGTTGCCAGAAGGGGGATGTGCCCCCTTCTGTTAGGGGGGTTTGAAGGGGGGCGGAGTCCCCCTCATCGCCAAGAAAATTTTGAACTTGTGAGAGGCTAAAAATGACCCCAGGTCGATCATAATGTAATGTTTAACCAACACTGAAAAGCCTTTGACTCTATCTCAATCCCTTGAGCAGTTGCAGCACTTTGAAATAAATTATGATGGGAAAAATCGAGGCAAAATAGTGATTTTTGGCAATTTTGAGATGTCCCTTCGTTGCCATGGTAACAGGAAATTTAAGACTGAGCATGTCGTTACAAAGGCAATGGTCCAGTCAACATTTGTGCCAAGTTTGATTAGTATTGAAGCATTTTTCATAGTTTCATAGCAGTTTGAACTTGTAACAGGAGGCTTTTCAGTGAAAACGGCCATTTTTCACAATATGCTCATGGGGGAAAGGGTTAAATAACAAATACCTATCTACCTCATAACAATTTAATAAAATCAATTGTTTTACTATATGAAACTATTCAGATTATTTGTGCAGCATCTTTGTTATCTTTCTTACCTTCCTTTTTAGCAGTTGATGATGATGCCTTTGGTTTAGAGAGTTTCTGTTTACCAAATCCTGGACCTGGTCTTGGTCTCCTAGAACCAGCTCCCTGGCTTTCACCCGTACCCACAGAAAACAACAGAGAGCTCTGGGTAGTCTGTGTTTCCATGGTAACAAAGCTTGTCTCAGCATATGTGTCAAGACTGCTCTGTGTTAGCCAGTTAAATGGTCCTTTATGTGCTCCTACACAAAACAGCAAGAAATAATAATAAATCTATAAAGATGAAGTACTTAACTTACTAATAGAATTTAACTTTCCATGTCAGTTAATTTTTCTAACTAAAAAGGAGTGCATGGACATTATTGTCTTTTGTTTTTAAATATCATATAACTTTAAAGACTTCAAAACAACTTGGTTATTGAAGCATCACCTGGGTCTTGTGTTTGTGTAAATTGTTGAACATCTTGTGTTGCTCTCACACCATCAACTGTATCATCTACCTCCATCATAGACTGAGAGGCTTGAGTAGCAAACAGTGGTGTCATAGCAGCATGTCTTTGTCTCCATGATGATTTTACAGAATAATCCTACATATAGCAAATAATAATATACATCCTGTTTACATATACCTTTATTCAACTTAATGTATCATGGTTAATCTGAGGTAGTTTTTGCAAAATAGGACCCTTTTCATACCTTTAACATGCCAAAACAATTTCGGTTAAACTACAATTAAGAAGTAGTATAAAGCCAAAAGATTCATTTCTTAGGTGACTTCTCTGCCAAAATTATGAAAACCTTAACCTAATTCCCAATCAATATTTGTTAGCTCTATTCTGGCAATACTGTTCAAGCAATGCACATAAAACAATAGCTGTTAGTTGGACAGTGCCCTGCACTTTTCTCAGTGCTTGACAGTAATGTTGCATACAAACATGACAAACCTTAACCACAAATTTTCTAATTTTAATATAGGGCCATATTTCAGTCAAAATCCATTTCTGAGTTATAGGCCTTGGATATTGACCTCCAATTATGGTCACAAAAACATGTACATAGACTCAAGTGAATACACAAAGTAGATTTGAAGATTGATGTTGCATGCAAGTTTGAAGCAGAATTTTCATAAAGTTCACAAAGGACACAATTCAGTCCAAGTCCAAGCTAGTTGTGACCATCTAATATGATCTTGAAGATGTGTGTGAAATTTCAAGTAATTAAGCGTTTGATGAGATATGATGTTGTTCGAGAAGTTGCATTATAAATTTTAACAGAAGCGTAGAAACTAAAGCCTGATTCAGTAGGGTTGCCTCTCAATTATTTGAACAAGCAATCTGGAAAGTATTTCAAAAAGATACTCACAGAAAACTTGCATTCTGACAGAGGATGTTCAAATATTTCTCTCTGATAATCTGGACTCTTTGAAGTCATTTCTAGTAACAGGTTGGTGGCATAACTCAGGTATTGTTGTTCTGTAACTGGGGAGTACATGGCCTCTAACATAGCAACAAGACGATCTAGTGTTGGGGCAGGTAATCTTGTCTCACTGCTCCAGAAATTCTGAACTTGTAATCTATAACAGAAATACTGTGCGAGTGTGTGACGGATAAGTGTTCTACAATCTTCCATCGATCTTAAATAGACTTCATTTTAAGTAATGAGTTATGCTATAAGCACACCAGACACAGGTAATAATTACTCATGACCTAATATTACATATAGGTGGTGCAATGAAAGGGTGACACACATAAGAAAACAGTAAATATTGTTTACAAACTTCTTATTAAGAAATACATAACTGTATGCAGATATTGAAATGAACTGTTATCAACACGAAGTTAAAACACATAAACTGTGGTAGTTATCCTGACCTGCAGTGTAGATCATCATCTCCCAACCCCTTCAGTAAACTTTCCTTGGTCTGCTGTAAAATTTTATCAGCTTCTGCAGTATCCTCATCTCTGAAATATCATATAGACAATAGATATAGAATTTGAGGATGCATGAAAAACATTATTTTTTTCTCTTTATGATTTAAAATTCATTATTTAACTTTCGAAAACAGAAAATAAAAGATTACCTCAAAATATTAAATTATACATGTTAAAGTCATTTTGAGTAAGACAAGAATTACTTAACTGTCTCAGATTAAAATACAACATTCTTATAAATAAGATACTAAGTATAATTTGCATGTGAGTATTATTGCCATGCATTGTTTGTATGTATATATGGTTTGTACATATGTCTTTATGCTGTACCATGCATGTGACGATCGCACTATTCTTAATTCATCCTTGAAATTACTAATTGTATTTGATAGTTAATGAAAAGACATTGTAATTATGTTTTACATCAGTATGTAATACCTGACATTTCCAATCTTACCTGTAATTATCATACACCCACATAAGAATGTCATACATGACATTTCTACAACCAGTACTTGGGTTACTACAGAATGCAACAATGTTTGGCATCAACATACCAAGCTCAGCTGACTTTAGTTTGGGTAGTACAGCCTTTACAATCTTCAGTGAGACTTGTTGTGTAGCTTCATCCCTAAAATACATGCACATCAATATGTCAAACTGTTACATTTATCCACATATCAAACTGTAACTTACCACAGAAAAAAAGGGTAAAACAATCGTTAACTGTATAATTTTAACTTAAAGTGATAGCAATAATCCAGTCAGATTAATAAGAAGAATCGTGATATAATATGTAAGATGAATATATAAACTCTGTGTTTACAGGAATTTTTGTACCAAGTAAATGGTAGTGGAGAAAAAAGTTCAAGCACTGCTCAAGATCATGTCTAAAGACTTGTGGATAGACACCTATTCTTATCAAAATAAAACAGAAGCACAGATGCAATAATTTAACACAAATATTTCCTTCACAATCTCTCTACTCTTTTGACATCAGTTCATCAGAAATTACAAATGGTTTTATTTTTCTGTATTTTATCATCATTCAAACATTACCTATGTGAGAGACAGGTGATTATTCCTTTAGACTTTAGTTCCAGGAAGGCATTCTCCATGTGCTCTACCCTAGAATGTAACACCTCTAGACACAGTGTCCGGAACTCACCATGAAGATTTGGCAACATAAACAACAGCTTGTTCACAAATCTACAATGAAAAATACAACCCATGTTCATTCTCTAATTTATTGAGTCTAAAGTTTTTGCTGCAAACTTAAAGGTTCTAATTCAAAAATAAACACTATATCTTAAATTGTATTAACCTGCTACAAAATTTCATAACACATGTAACCCAAGAGGAACATATATGGAACAAAAAGTAATTCATCTTTTTAACATTTGTAAGCTATAGAAAATTTGTTAACATTACTATAATATGATTGATGTGATCTAATGTTTGACTTTACCTGTCTGCTATAACAGGGTAATGTTTGTGTATCCTATGGACACAGGTGATGAAGTTATCAGGTCTGCCTTGATGTAAGTTTGTCATCAAATTCCCCACATATGTATGAAATGTTCCTTCTTTCTCATCCTCTTTATCAGCTAGATACTGGAATATCATTCCACATACCTCCGCTGCTGGGGCATAGGTTGTCTTCTGATTATGTCCCATATTATTTGCAAGCTTTGCAAAAAACCTGAAAGATACAATTCAACTAAAAGCCTTATTCACTTGTTTCTAAAACTAGTAGCTGTCTGTTCAAAAGAGAAGTGTTGAGCCAAACCAATGATTTTCTATTTTTGCATATAACATCAGTAAAATGAGCTGAAAGCTGACCATAAAACACAAGTTTATCTAAAAGCCTGATTAAATATTCAGGTAATATAAATATGCCTAGATCCAAAATATAACAATAAAAACAAAATTTTACTTCCATACAGATGTTGTTCCTTGCCAAATGTTGTTTTATTTTTTGGTTGCATTCAAAGCATAAATGTAAATGAATTTAGTATGATAGAATACAAGATTTACCTGTCTCTGTCAACAGGTGCTACTGGACCATAAGGAGGGAATTTACAGGCAATGACCACACCCAACACCTGTACACCTACTATGTTTTCCTTTGATTTCATATCTGCATTGTTGAATTGGGTATATATCTCCCTGAAACAAAATAAGTCAGGAGTTAAATTGGGCATATCTATCTATCTAAAATAAAATAAGACAGAAAAGTATAAAACAAATTAATGACAATTTGAAAAAAAATCGTTGTCCCAATCAATTAAAATAATCTTTCAATGCAAAAGATATTTAAATATCATCATATTTAACACTTTTAGATTTAGCAATTTCTGAAATATGCAGTACATGTACTTAAATAGCAAAGAAAATAATGCACAACATAAAAACACAGATTTAATTTGGTTGTGTCAACTTATCATGAATATTACTTACTGGTATGGTATCTCCACTCTGTCTTTCCAGCATTCGAGCAGTGTCTTTAACATCTCTAGGTTATTTCTAAATACAGGTCGTGACTCATGGTAAATGTTTTTCACAATGAAATGTACCAGTCTTGATGCCAAAGCTTTGTCTTCAACTGTATCCTAAACAAGTATACAAATATTGCATAATTTGATTTTCTTTCAACAATTTCGCCTTTTTCACAACTAGCAAATGTAGAACATTGATCACTCTTCATGTCACACTGTAGTAGTAAAAAATACAACTGGTAGATGAAAACCTCAGGTGCCCTTTCGTGCATTATTTCAGGCATAAACAGGCACCAAAGTAGAACCATCAACATTCCCTAAGATGGTTTGTTCACATAAAAGAATCCAAAGTCCCTATGAATCAATAGTGGTAAGAGCTAAGTGGACTTGAGTCAATGAAGTAAACGTGTGTAAAAATGAAAATAATACACAAAATGAAAAGGACAGTAACATATCTGTCTCTCAGAATGAAATCTATGATATCAAGCCCCATAGGTGTAACAACTATCTTCTCTTGTCAAGACGGCAGATTCATGCTCATATTGGTCTTCAATATTCAGCTAAAATAATAAAGCTAAATCAAACAAAACTAGAACTATCACTTAATGTGATTAATACCCCCACAAGTCTGCTTCGGAAATGAGGATGTTACTAGTAACAGAATACCTTGTAAAAGAATTGAAACATAGAGTTATGGTTGTGGGCAATTAAAGATAATTGTGGTTCATGTATGTTGCATTTCCTTTCAATGTGGTTGGCCATTATGGTTCTTGTGCACTGCACTTCCTCTCAATGTGCTGGACCATTGTATGAAGTTATAATGAATTCCAACAATTAGTCTTCAAGTTATGGTCCGGACAAAAGAAAGCAATGGAAAAGTAACAAAGGGCAGTAACTCTGTAATTAGTCAAGATAGAGTTATGGTTCTTATGCACTGCACTTCCTCTCAATGTGCTTGACCATTGTATGTAGTTATATTGAATTCCAACCATTAGTCTTCAAGTTATGCTCCGGACAAAAAAAAGAAGGCAATTGAAAAGCAACAAAGGGCAATAACTCTGTAATTACTTTAGATAGAGTTATGGTTCTTGTGCACTGCACTTCCCCTTATTGTGTTTGACAATTGTATGAAGTTGTTTTGAATTCCAACCAGTAGTTTTCAAGTTATGCCACGGACAAGGAAAAGTAACAAAGGGCAATAACTCTGTAATTAGTCAAGATAGAGTTATGTTTCTTACGCACTGCACTTCCTCTCAATGTGCTTGACCATTGTATGTAGTTATATTGATTTCCAACCATTAGTCTTCAAGTTATGCTCTGGACAAGGAAAATGCAACGGACAAAAAAAGAAGGCAATTGAAAAGCAACAAAGGGCAATAACTCTGTAATTACTTTAGATAGAGTTATGGTTCTTGTGCACTGCACTTCCCCTTATTGTGTTTGACAATTGTATGAAGTTGTTTTGAATTCCAACCAGTAGTTTTCAAGTTATGCCCCGGACAAGGAAAACTAACAAAGGGCAATAACTCTGTAATTTGTCAAGATAGAGTTATGGTTCTTGAGCACTGCACTTCCTCTCAATGTGCTTGACCATTGTATGTAGTTATATTGAATTCCAACCATTAGTTTTCAAGTTATGCTCCGGACAAGGAAAATGCAACGGACGTCTGGACCGACCGACCGACCGACCGACCGACCGACCGCCCGACCGACCAACCGACCGACCGACCGACCGACCACAGGGTGACTCCTATATACCCCCCCAAACTTCGTTTTTGGGGGTATAATTAATAACTTTTTAAATGCCTATATTGACAGATCAGTAATGTTATATTATTGGACAAAACTTGATTTCATCTCCTGTATTTACCTGTGGTATAGCTACTTTATGCCAGGAAAGTAATAGTACTATCAGGTCTACAATAAAATAATTGATACTTCCACCACCTAGTGGTCCACTTATAATTAGCTGTATAAATGCTTGTAACCAGTGACCAGCATATGGCTGAAATACCTGTAATACACAATGTTCATCTTATATAATATACTGGAACAAAACATTAGTGTGTAAATGGTTCATTTACAATATTACCATTTGATCTCCTCAAATCTTTGAAAAAATACAAACCAGACATTACTTTTGTAAACAATTATTAAAGGTAGTCAATGATGAATGACAGAAAAGTCTACTTTAAACATACACAATTTGAGAACAATAAACTATAATTCATAATACATGAAGGGCTTATCTTTAACAAAGGCTTAAATGTAACTCAGGATCTTTTTAAATGATCATTATACTAATATAACCAAAATTATGTTCCAAGTCATATGTTCTTGTCAACAATAATGTTTTGGAAAATTAAAAAGATCAACAAACCTTGGCAGTGTTCATGATGAGTTTGGCAATGAAGAGTTTGATGTTAAAATGTGTTCTAGAGTTACACATCTTGGTATGTAGTTTCTCCATCCATGGAGGCATAGGAGGCATACTGGTTCCCTATATATTGTATAAATAGTATTTGTATACAGACAACAATGTAGTATATTGTATATCTATCTATACAGGCTCCTATTTAACATTCAACAAAATCATTTATGATTGAGACTAGGGATGTCACGTTTATCCATTTTAACATGTACGGTCGTTTGTTGTTTTTTTTACTAAAAACCAGTAATAAAATTCAATAAACGGTACCCGAAAATAGTATTTACAAAGAAGAGAAAATGTTTTAAATGTTTTAAAATGATTCTAAACATTACCTTAGTTTCTTGTAATTTGTTTGTATTTTAGCTTTTCTCAAGAATGTATATTTTCCAATCTGATCAAGTACAGTACCAGAAAATAGTCACCCCATATTCCAATATGTACTGTAATCGTTTTGAGTACAAGAAAATGCCAACAAAATGTCATATCTTCTCATAAAGAAATTAAGTTAATTTTGAAAATCTAAGGATTTTAGGAGTATGGTCAGTTAAACGTTTGACATGGTTATCCTGTCTCCGTTTAAATGGTTAACATTTTTTCTTACCATGTCACCCCTAAATTTGACAAAACTGTTTAGTGAGAACTTTACAATTGCTTTTACAATGTTTTACATTTAAAATAACATGTACTGTTTACAAGACAAAATCTTAATACATGTTGCAAATATGAAGCAGATTATGTTTCCCTAACCATTACGTTTTTTTTGTTTGTTGCTGTTTTGGTTTTAAGATGATAATCATAAAAGGACGTACATGTTTAACTTCTGGTGTTATTTTATTTTCCTGCATATGTTTAATGACAGCTATCAGTGTAGGCATACATTCATGTTGATTGAGATCATCCATCTCTAACTCTACATAATCCTCTTCTACAGTCACTGTTGTTTCCTGTATAACATTGTACAATAAAATCAGGTGTTGCCATGGCAACGGAAAAAAATATATACATATAAGCAACAATAATTAATCTAATCTACAAAAATACTTATATATATCTAGTATGTACAAGAACTGACTTGTATGTTTGTATGTGATTGAATGTTGTATCTTCTAATTTATATAAATTAACAAATGATAAATTAAACATCAATTTTAAATACTTGATATCAACATAAAACCATTCTATTTCCTTTGATCATGTTGAATTCTTCTATACATAGACATTTTTTTTACTTTAAATCATAGTTATACATGTAGTAACACAAATGTAGATTGTTCACCATTTTCAAAGGGCCAAGGGTATTGGTTGTTCATTGGTTTATGTTGTTTTTTGTTTTATTTTTGTTTTACATCACACCAGCACAGTACATGTTTCATACTAAGCTTAAATACTATGATAAAGTTATGACTATGATAAAACAGTAAACCTGATCTTCCTCTATGTTAGTGCTAGATGAAGTCTTCATCCTCTTCCTGGCTGGACCACTTGATAATGACTGAAATATCACAAAATGAACAATAAACTAGAAATGTGTCCATAGGACACGGATGCCCCCACACGCCACTGTTCTGTCAATCTTTTGACTCTAGGTCAAATATTTTTTGGACTACATGTGCCACAAGTTGAAAACTAAAAATCAACAAAGGGCCATAATTCTGTTAAATTTGGTCGCAGCAAAAATTCCTTCCTTTACTACCATCTACACATTAAGGTTGTTAATCCCTGGAAGTTTAAGCAAAATCTGCCATCCGGTTTAAGAGGAGTTGCGTTCACAAAATTTCTACATAGTATATAATGAAAAAATCAACAAAGGGCCATAATTCTGTTAAATTTCGTTGCAGCAAAAATTCCTTCCTTTACTGCCATCTACACATTAAGGTTGTTCATCCCTGGAAGTTTAAGCAAAATCTGCCATGCGGTTTAAGAGGAGTTGCATTCACAAAATTTCTACATAGTATATAGTGAAAAAATCAACAAAGGGCCATAATTCTGTTAAATTTGGTCGCAGCAAAAATTTCTTCCTTTACTACCATCTACACATTAAGGTTGTTCATCCCTGTAAGTTTAAGCAAAATCTGCCATACGGTTTAAGAGGAGTTGCATTCACAAAATTTCTACATAGTATATAGTGAAAAAATTAACAAAGGGCCATAATTCTGTTAAATTTGGTCGCAGCGAAAATTCCTTCCTTTACTACCATCTACACCTTAAGGTTGTTCATCCCTGTAAGTTTAAGCAAAATCTGCCATCCGGTTTAAGAGGAGTTGCGTTCACAAAATTTCTACATAGTATATAGTGAAAAAATCAACAAAGGGCCATAATTCTGTTAAATTTGGTTGCAGCAAAAATTCCTTCCTTTACTACCATCTACACATTAAGGTTGTTCATCCCTGTAAGTTTAAGCAAAATCTGCCATCCGGTTTAAGAGGAGTTGCGTTCACAAAATTTCTACATAGTATCTAGTGAAAAAATCAACAAAGGGCCATAATTCTGTTAAATTTGGTCGCAGCGAAAATTCCTTCCTTTACTACCATCTACACATTAAGGTTGTTCATCCCTGTAAGTTTAAGCAAAATCTGCCATACGGTTTAAGAGGAGTTGCGTTCACAAGATTTCGGGACGTACGGACGGACTGACGGACGGACTGACGGACGGACAAGTGCAACGCTATATGCACCCACATTGTGGGGGCATAACAAGAGCTATCCATAATACAGCACACTCAAATATTCTTAGTGCTTGACAGTATAAAAAAGGATCATAACTCTATAAAAATGTAATTTATAGAAATGGGATTGTACCCATAATGCTGCACGAGGAACAAGTATGTGAAGTTTCAACCAATTCCCTTCTATTTTGGAGATACATGTACCAATTTGCATGCAAAAAAAACTTAAGCAGCCTGATAGAGACGCCCATGTGAGCACAGCAGCTCTCCCTATAATTCAAAATGTCTAGCTAAAAATTTAACTTTAATGAAAAAGAAAAACTATTTTTTGGGGAAAAAATGGTAAAATAAGATAACAGTATTGTGATGAATATAAGTTTAACCAGATTAAGAGAGATAGATAGAGATATTTTACCCCAGCAGTTCCTGACATGGTGAAATACTGTGATACATCTTCACTAAGACTGCTATCAGCGAGGTATTGTGAAGCTAGATGGTAGCTAGGAGATATATCCTCTATACTGTCATCATCTTCCATTCTTCTCCTCTCCTTCATCTCCTGATGTATTGTCACAAACTTCTTCTTTCTTTCCATGGGTGACTTAAAATAATCAGAACATTCTAGTCAAAAGTATACAAATTGTAAGTAAAGGCAGTCAAAATATCTTAGTTTAAATTTGTAGGATAAAAAAATGATATAGAATAATTTTAAGTCAACTAGTTTTTGATTTACCATCAAGTTTCAAACCACATCATCATTCCATTCAATATAATTATTGGGAAAATCTCAAGTTGTTTAAGAAACATTGAATTAAAATATGTTACATGGCATCTTCACTTGTCATAATTCATCATCACACATCCAAATTAGATTAGATTACAACTGAACTCGTAAAAGCTAAAAACATGGCATACCTGAAGTTCTACTTGGAATTCATAAACTCTGTCTTTATCTACTAGATTTTCCAGCAAGAACTGTCCCTGTTTATAATATAGAAATCATTAAATCATTTCATCATATACCCGTGCCGCTTTTACGACTCTGTAAAAATGGTATTGCACGACCGTGCATATAAAATATAGACGATATTTGTTTAGTTCAGTGTCAGATTGGAATATATTTCACCGAGTGAGCACCAAAAGGTATATTTCGCTCGTGATTAGGTGAAATATATTTCGATCTTTCACTAAACTAAACAAATTTTCTTTTTATTTTATGCAAAGAAAGTTTTAAAAGACATTTTAAGCTAAAACTAAATGAAAAGCGCGCCAAATAATAATACAATGTTACATCATTTACGACGTCACGTTATTAACTTGGTTTCCAGTTCTGTGCACACTGGTATTTCACTGAAACAACATAAGTGGCTTAAATTCAAAATAGTGAAATTATTAAATTGATAATTTCACTGTTTCAAACAGTGAAATTATCAGTTTTATACATGTATTTCACTGATATATTTCTATAAACCACCGGAAAACATGTAATAAAATGTGACGTCATTTTTATTATAAAAACATAGCGCTTCGACGCGCTAAATGTTAGCATTATATTAAACAATTCTTAAACCGTCTTTCTTTATGATATGTGATAAATAGAATATAAAATTCGCATAAACTTGTGGAATAAAATAATATTGTGCTTGTCCAAGACTCGCATAATATAATTTTATTCAAATTATTCAAATAAATTCAGTATCAAACTTACATTCATTCAATATCCTCTATTTCTAGTGTTACATAAGAGCATTTGATCCAAATTATTTATAAATTATTCTATCAAATATTTGTTTAGTTTTTACGATGATTATTTAATACACATATTTGGTCATATCTCAGCAGCCTGTCCACCAGGAAACCAGCTTTACTGGATAACTTACATGTAATTACCAATTTCCCTGCAAGTGACTGACTACTTTTTTGATATTCCACATAATTTCTGAAGCAGCTATGGCAGACAAATGAACATTAGACACAATGGATAATTGTCATAAAGAAATTTCACCTCACCCTAGGATCCTGAATTACAAACCTTATGCTCTCTCTATTGAGCCAAAAGGGTGGACATCATATCTTATCAAACAAGAGCCGGTTGAACCGGGTGATGCTCCCCGAATAGGTTTTGGACACAGGCTGGTATACGTCCTGTAGTGTCAGAGTTATGTCACAGACAAAGTTCAAAGTGTTAAAACAACCCAAATGTTACGCGCGACACATTGTCTCAATATGGTGATCATTTCTGTGCAATAGTTGTACAATCCGACTTCAAATAACAAAGTTATGGCCCGGACACGATTTTCCTGCAAGGTCATGCTGTGACCTTGACCTTCAAGGTAGCCCCCCAAATATTGCACACGAAACATCATCTCAATGTAATGATCATTTCTGTGAAATAGTTTTAAAATACGACTTCAAATAATGAAGTTATGGACCGGACACGATTTTGCTGCAAGGTCATGCTGTGACCTTGACCTTCAAGGTAGTGACCCAAATGTTGTGCATGACACGTCGTCTCAATATGGTGATTATTTCTGTATAATAGTTTTAAAAGCCAACTTCAAATAATGAAGTTATGGACCGGAAACGATTTTGCTGCAACTGCAAGGTCATGCTGTGACCTTAACCTTCAAGGTAGCGACTTAAATCTTGCGCGGACATGTCGTCTCAATATGGTGATTTTTTCTGTGAAATAGTTTTAAAATCCAACTTCAAATAACAAAGTTATGGACCGGACACGATTTTACTGCAAGGTCATGCTGTGACCTTGATCGTCAAGGTAGCGACCCAAATGTTACCCCTGACAATTCGTCTCAATATGGTGATCATTTCTATGAAATAGTTGTAAAATCCGACTTCAAATAACGAAGTTGTCGACCGGACACAATTTTGCTGCAAGGTCATGCTGTGACCTTGACCTTCAAGGTAGCGACCCAAATGTTGTGCATGACACGTCGTCTCAATATGGTGATCATTTCTGTATAATAGTTTTAAAATCCGACTTCAAATAATGAAGTTATGGACTGGAAACGATTTTGCTGCAAGGTCATGCTGTGACCTTGACCTTCAAGGTAGCGACCCAAATGTTGCGCGCGACACGTCCTCTCAATATGGTGATCATTTCTGTGAAATAGTTTTAAAATCCAAATTCAAATAACAAAGTTATGGACCGGACACAATTTTACTGCAAGGTCATGCTGTGACCTTGACCTTCAAGGTAGCAACCTAAATGTTGCGCGCAACACGTCATCTTAATATGGTGATCATTTCTGTGAACTAGTTTTAAAATCCAACTTCAAATATTGAAGCTATGGACCGGACATGATTTTGCTGCAAGGTCATGCTGTGACCTTGACCTTCAAGGTAGCGCCCCAAATGTTGCACGCGACACATCGTCTCAATATGGTGATTATTACTGTGAAATAATTTTAAAATCTGACTCCAAATAACAGGGCAGCCAACAGCAAATTGCAAAATCAGAGGAAAATACGCCGGGGGTCAAGGGGGCTGTGCAAGCCCCCTTTGCGGGTCCAGGGCAGAGACCAGGTGGGCGCCCAGGGGGCGAAGCCCCCGAAAGCTCCTGGATTCTGATGATTTGGTATGCCCTAAAAAATCAATTTCCTGGACTCTAAATTTGACTTCCTTGGTTGCCTTTAAAGCCATTCAGAGACACTTTAGTTGGACTTCAGGTTTTCATCAGCCCTCAAAACAAATATGCGACATTTGGACGCATTTTGACAACAGACAAGAGTGACAATGTAAACTGTAATTTGATTGGTTATTCTAAAATAGAATGCCGGAAAAGACTCCATTTGACCAATGAGAAAAGCGCTTACAGACGTACCATAGGCGGCTAGCGTAACGATAAAAGCCGAAGCGTGCCAGTTTTTGGGTACTGTATAAAATATGACAAATGAACTTATTGTCTTTGTCGAATTTACATCGATCTCAAAAATGACCCAGGAGCTCACGAAATCCGCGGAAAATCGGCAGCCCTGAAATAACAAAGTTATGGGCCGGACACGAATTCGGGACGTACTGTCTGACGGACAACCCGACGACTTCTGTAACCCAATTTATATTCGTGAATACAAATTTTCGTGTTTTGCCGAGGTCGGACATATTCGCGAATATTAATTTTCGCGTTTTCTGGATTTCCGATTGGAATTATTTGCGGATTGGAAAGTCCGATGGGGCCGTAAAATCCATTAGCCGACTATTAATCTTCAATAATTGAGGTCATTATCGGTGTCTTAAATGGGATTAACAATACGCTAGCCTTATTTTGTATTGGTAAGTGAATTGTGATCACAATTCAGCAAAACATTTTCTCTATATATGTACATGTACGCATCGTTCGTCTTCATTTCTAAACATGTCGTTAAAAGGGTGGTTGATAAAAAATAAACCCTCAGAATGCAGGGATGTTTCGGCATCGTTTTTGCCTGATCATGATCTGGAAAGCACACCAGAAAAAACAAGAGCTGTCCGTAAGACAGCGCGCTCGACTTTTTTATTGCTTGCCAATAAAAAAAGTTTTTGCAGTAAAAGGCAATACAAGAATCTCTGTATTTTTAAAGTGAACAATGGCCATGAGCATTAAGATATTTAGTGAAGAATTATTTTACTGAATTGTGTGATACCCTTGAACACTGCAGCAAAGTTTTTTAGTGCTTGCCTATAATACAAAACATTGACAGTTAAGGGCCATAATTCAAATAAAATCTTTGACAGAATTACCTTCTCCTGGACATGTTTGGGAATCATGATTGTAAACAAGTATTCCAACTTTCAAATTAATATCTCAAACAGTTCAGTCAAAAAGTGGACTGGTACTAAAAACTTAACCAAGATTCTAAGTCGATAAAAGGCCTTAATTTTTAAAACAAATCCTTGACAGAGTTACCTTCTCTTGCGTACAGATGGGGGTAATGATGTGAAATAGCATTAAAAGTTTCAAAGCAATATCTCAAAGGGTTAAGGCAATAAGTGGATTTTACCCATATTCAATGTATTTTCTAAGTCAAAAAGGGGCATAATTCTGTCAAAAACCTTGACAGAGTTATGTCCTCTTGTCTGTTGATGAAGGTCGTGATGGTAAACAAGTATGGTCAGTTTCAAAGCAATACCTCCAATGGTTTTGAAATAAAGTGAGGTGGTACAAAAAACTTAACCAAGCTCAATACACTTTCTAAGTCAAAAAAGGGCCATAATTCTGTCAAAAACCTTGACAGAGTTATGTACTCTTGTCTGTAGATGGAGGTTATGATGGTGAACAAGTATGGTAAGTTTCAAAGCCATACTTGTAATACTTCTGAAATAAAGTGGGGTGGTACGAAAAACTTAACCAAGGTGTGACGCCAACGCCGACGCTAACGCCGACGCCGACGCCGGGGCGAGTAGGATAGCTCCCCTTTTCATAGAAAAGTCGAGCTAAAAATGATTAAAGCGGCAAACGAAGCTGTATTTGAAAATTTTATCACCAAATCTCCAATCAGGGATCGATCCCACGCCGAGAAAATTATGTTATATGAGTCCGCAATCTGACCAACTGAGCTATACAGGCTGTTAAGTTTGACGGGTAAAAAACGATACTATAGTCTGTCCCATCAAATTTGAACATTCCATTTTTTATTTAATATAATAGTAAAATCATTTAAATTAATGTCATGTTAACCCTGGCGTCAATATCTCTAGGCATGTTTTTCATTTTTTTCATAAAGTCATTAATATGGTCGAAATGTTAAAATTATATTTTTCCCCGTTGACTTACGTTGTAACCTGACGTGACGTCCATTTCAAAATGGCGGCGCCCATATAGACGTCATTTAGGGTTCGTCTCACAATTAGCGTGAAATGTACTCGGTTATTATACAAAAAATGATTATTCTTAATTACTTACTGATCAATAGCTAAATGTTCTCATTAAAATGAAAAATGAAAACAAAGTTGGTGTCAAAAAAGACAATTTTACTAGCAAACCATTATTTAAAATAATCAACATTATTTGAAGTGAAAATATCAGTTACCGCTTTATTAATTCTAACACACAAATATTTCTATAATTACCATGACATACTGTCGTATTTTTATATTTTTTTAAGAGAAAAAGAACAATGAAGTGATTTGATTAGATAGCTTTTCAATCAAGCTCGTATCTTGAATACCGCAACGCGTCGAAGGGGAGCGGGAACACTAGCTAGAAGACTATAAAATGGTTATTCGCTAATTAATGTTTAATTTACATAATTCTGTAGTTGTCTGAATTCTGTCCATTAATATGTGTCACGTCTATTCAAAAATAATTAGAATTGACCAGGTTCGATGAGATACAAAATATGTTACCCTTCTTATTTCGGGTGCGATGTTTGTGTGCTAAACCTTTCCTTCACAAGAAATCGCCAACAAATAATACATTATCATGCAAATCTGACAAGAAATATATAGAAAAGAGAACTGATTCACTATACGTTCAGCATTGGTTTGCTTGTTACCACAGTGTCTTCTTTAACTTACCCCCTCGCTAACGAGAGAACACAGACTCGCGCCCGAGGAAATTGTTAATTATAAGAATATAATATCACGCTTTCTAGTTTGAGCAATCAAACGTAGGCCTATACACTTTAAGCTCGTAAATACAGATTTATCTTTCCGTCTCACAATTCAACAAAATGTCCAGAAATACCGACAGTGATTTGATATTATTAAAAATAAGTTTGAATTGGAGTGTTCAATAAGCGACAATAAGTGCGGTTTTTATTGCAGACTCAAAGTGTTACATATAATTATTATGTTAATATGAAGGGGAGGTAGAGTCAAAGAGAACCTCAATAATTTTAGCCTTCCTAAAATTTGAAAAGATTCAGTGAAAAAACAATTGATCTAGCATATTTTTCGCGGCATAAAAAAAAATGCGTATTGTATATTTTGTAACTTAAAGAGTAGGATTAACAGAAGTCTTTAATAATAAGGGATAATATGTAGGGAAATCATTTCTGAGAAATATATAAAATAGTTTAAAAACATAAAATCAAAACGAATGTTATATGTAATTAATGGAAGAAGTATTGTACTGTTATCTAGATTCATGTCATTAAGTGAGTTTAAAAATATTTAAATGTTATCGAAAGTTTTATTATTAATATAATTATGAATTGAAGGTGTAATTTTTACAGTTAAGTTGCAAAATTTGGGTCTACAAAAATTATTTAAAATGCAATCAAGGCATATTTATCTCAACGCTTGAAATTATTTGTTTGAGGTTACATTGGCCAAACCGCCCTCTGTCAATGCCGCAACTGGAAGCGCGAGGCATTTTTGTTACGTCATATATTTCGTAAATTGTTGTTGACGTAATAAAGTTTTTTTTCGTCAGGAATCCATTTTCAAGAGTTGAACATTGTCATTGTGATGTTAACAACTAAAATTTATGGACCGTTCTTGAATTATGGATTTGGAACATGCTGAATTATGATGTGTTTCATTTACATATTTCATTTGCTAACCCAGATAACTCCACAAATTTAACAATAATTTAATAAAGAGACGGATTATTAACAGTTTAACAAATCTGGATCATCATAAGTGTATGAGTCATGTCATTCAGGAGTTTTGAAGCTACGGAACTGGATAGAAACTTGCAATGAAGGAATCTTCAGAATGCGAATTTGTGGTGACGTTCATATAAGATATATTTCGAAATTCATAGGGATTCTATTCAGCTTAAAAGTAAGTGCAATTTCTTTTCCTACTCCGTGTGACACGGTGTTTTTGTGTTGCTTTTTTTTTCCATTTTTTTTAAAGTTTTCCATCATGCATTGCAACTAAACTGTTACATCTTGTAGATCCAGCTTTGTAAAATAATCATGAAACGACCCCGAGAACCTCATGTATATTTTAGAAACATAACACGTGCTTTCTCCCGTTCATCTTCAAATGAAGAGTACTTCGGCAATGGCTACGGAAAATAAACAACAGAGATTTGCCATAGAGAAATCAAAATTTGCTTTAACAAGAAAAGTAGACACTTTAGAGAAAAATCCTGAAAAATCTCGAGGGTGACTTTTTTTTAGTTTACCAAAATAGTTTAATTTTTATTTAACCTCGTTTTGTTAATTCACACGAGGCAAAAGTTCATTTCCATTTTTAATGGGACAGACTATAGTATGAAACCATCTTGTATTTCACTGTTTGTAATTATGTACACCCAATATCCTTTTGTGATGCTCGATAGGTTTATACCACCTTTGTCTTAACAATTCACTCAAACAATTATTTTATAGGATCCAAAAAACAATAGCCTTTTGTGATGCTCGATAGTTTTCCCAGTTTTGTCAAACGATTTATTCAAACATTTTAAAACTGACACATGCTCCGTATAGTACCCTATACGGAACGTGATTGACAATAGGCCTACAAGTATTTCATGAATTGTATTAAAATGTGGATGTTTATTTTGATTGCTATATTGACATAGTTAGACAAGTTATTTTGATATTTATAAAATAGTAGTACTTTACTTAGTTTGTGTTTTTATTGCTTTATGGCAATATTCATAACATTTTACTTCCTAACAGGTGCCCGTAAAATTCGAATATATCCGGTCAAGTAGCTTTGCATGAACAAGGTCTAAAACTCCAATTTATTCGCAAAATCGTGCGGACTTATTCGCGCAAACAAATATTCGCGCTTCGTGGCCATCCGCGAATAAAGCGAATATTAATTGGTCGCGAATATTCGTTGGGTTGCAGTATATGCTTCCCCGAAATTTTTCGGGGAGCATAATAAACCTGGCCATTCCATACAGAAAGGCAAGAAGTGAAAACATGTAAAGAAGTACAGAAGTTTTACATAGCAGCAATTCAATATTAAGAATCTTAATTTTTTCACATTCAATGTTCCAGTTACATTAGAAACTGTCAAACAATCTTACTGACTGTATGCATGACAGGATATAGGGGAACATTTAGTTCACACCATACATTACCTTATTTTCTTTCTCCTCAAACAAGAAAGCTGTGTAGAATTTCTGGTCAGTCTGAGTACATGATATAAATGCACACATGAGATTATAGGCTGTACAATGATACTGTCTTCTTAATTCTAACAGAGTTGTCTCCCCTCGTATATCCTCACCTTTTGCTTCATGAGCTTGTCTGCAATCATTAAATAACAAATGCAATCTTTCCTTAAGAACAAATGAGAAACAAGAACTGACTGTAAGACAAAATACTCAGATTATTAGTAAGTAACAGCATAATAAGAACAGGTCTTTGAAAACTTGTGGATCGAAAAAGGGGCCTAATTATGTCAAAATCAATGACAAGAGTATTAAAGAGACTCCACTCAGGTTTTTTGACATGACAGGACTGGAAATAATTATCAGAGATTTATGTTCCACTTGATGTAGGTCTTTACTAATAACTTGTGAGCAAAATTGCAGGTGAAGGTGATGGATAAAAACAAGTATGGCAGGCTTCAAAGCAATAATCCAATCGGTTAAGTTAAAATGTAAGTACACTGCAGCCCCTTTATAACGCTAGTGTTGGAGTCCAAGGTCTCAACACCATGTTATAAGGAGACTGTTTATAACGCTAATCGCGAAATTACCACATCACCCCACCCACCGCTGATACATATAACGATTGCGATTTTTACTTACTGTTCAGTGAATATCAATTTTTTTTTTTTTAAAACAATTTAGTAATGTAAACATATATTAAATCATTAAATTACATTAATTATATTGAAAAGAAACAGAAAACTTTCGAAAGAAAAACATAAATAACAAATGTAAACAGTAACAATTGTAGTGAAAGCTTCCAGCTTAAGTTGTGTCCTTTAGTTACACAATTTATTTCCAAGTTTCGTTTACAATTTGATGCCCGACTTTTCAACAGGTAAATCAACAAAAGAGCAGAATTAACGCTTACCTGTGCATGCTTTTCTGACATTAAGTGTCATGATTACATTGTTTATTGTATTTGTCACATTGAACAAGCGTTATATCTAATACTTATATCGGATACAGTGTGTTATAATTATGAATGAAATTTTTTTTTTATAAGCCTATGAGCGTTATACTGAGATAAGTGTTATAACCAGGGCGTTATATCAGGGCTGCAGTGTAGTTAGTACAGCAAAGATAAAGTTTAAGACCTTAAATATGTGATAAATTTCCAAAGAGCCTACATGTTAACAGAATGGGCAGTCAAAATTTCACAGCAGTTAGGAATACAAAATCACCAGTATATATAAAGTGATTTCCTTTAAGGATGACCTTGAAAAAGGTGACGCATTAATAAAAAATGTTTCTGTTGCTAAAATTTAGATTACAAAAGCAATTTTAACTCAAAAAACATTGAAGAGAAGTGCTTTACTTTGACACAAAACTGGTCAATTCTTTGCCTGTCTGAGGTGACCCATCACTGAACACCTTGTTTATATTTGACTGCATTCCAACAACATCATCTTTACGAAGTCTGGAATACATAGCCTCCATCATCTGGAAACACCCTATACGTGTAATCAGCTGACCCTCTAATATCGCCTCTGAACTCTATAACAACAAAATATTAGTCTTTAACAATTCTTAAGGTATTTCTATTGTATATCAGTCAGTACTTTTAATATAAATAAAGTATTTGTAAAAAACAAAATTATCAATTTAATATTGTCAGCTTTATATCATATTGTACCTACAATTTAATATAATAAATGCAAATATTTAAATAATCAAATGTTGAACAAAATTGTTAACAACTGTACTTTAAGGAAAATAAAAGTACAGACTGTAACTTATTGCTTTGTCATTCTGTTAATAATGAGGATCTATATACAAAATGGACTGTTATACACATGAATCAATTACAGTTTGTATAACATTCAACACTTAAGGTACATAATACATTTTTACCTTAGTAAGTTTAGCTTCTATAAGTTGCCTGATTTGTGCAATGTGATCTATGAAGAAGTCGACAACTACAGATTTGTTCACCAGTCTCAACATGGATAGACAGACACGTTCTATTGTAGCTCGCCGTATTTCACCGGGATAACTCATCTTCATAAATATATTATATGGCACGTCTAATGCTGTCTTCTGCTTATCACGGGGTAACCTGTGTATACATACATGGCATTTGTAAGAATTATAGTTCTTAGTTGTAAATTTATTTATTATAATCACATAATTTTCATAGTTTGATTTTTCTGATAGTATTTACTAAAGACATTGTTTGACTCTTTCAATTTAAGATAGCTTCACTATTTCCGCCAAACCTAACGTCTTATTTTGTTTCCTGTAAAAAGACGTAATTTCAGAGAATCGCATTGTTGTATCACATTGATATATTATTCTATGAATGAGAATAAAGAAAAGTGTTGAAATCTTCGCATTCTTGACTATTTTTAACGGAAAACATCTACAACATTATTATGACATATAAATGCATGACATTATTATGATCTTTATTCTGTTACATACTGGGCATTATATTGTTTTGCATTTCTTAAGTTAAGTTTGTTATCATTCTTGTTATTAAATATATAAAGATATTGAGTGGTGATCTCCAGTGGTTGATGGCTCTCTTATAATGCTTTAGAAATGTGATAATGACAATTCAAAAGGTTTTACCTTCTAGTGAACTTAGCAATTGCTGTTTGTATGGCATCTTCATGAACATGTTGGGATTCCCTACAGAATATACTGATTAGATATTCCAGCAACATAAGGCTGCCCGATAGTTGGAAGGCACTCAATATCTGAAATAGTGTAAACAAGTCACCTGTAAGTCACAACATCAATCACTCATCTGTGGTAGTTAGTGAATTATTTATTTAATAACTATAATTCATGTGGAAGTAAAACAAAGCACTATTAGACTAGAAGTACAGATACATGCAGCTCAAACTCAGATTGCTTAAATACCTCCCTTCGCTTGAAGTAATTGCCCTGTCCCGGCAAAGAACCCTATACAATTTATGTTGTTCTACCATGATCGCTAGAACCTGATCCCTGTATATAATGTTTATCAATCCATTAGAATCTTATCTGTTTATGTCTTAATCCACTAATTTTTGTATTATTGGTTTGTCCTGCAATGGATCTTGAATTTTCCAAAATCAATATGAGTTATTTTGGTATCATAATAACTAAATAAACTAGCTAACATAACAGAGTCTTGTCAGATTACACAGACGAGAATGAAGACCGGACTCTGTACTTATAGCATGTTTAATGGCATGTTACTCATGCCTACTATCTCTACAAGCATCCAAAATGTTATAAATAAAGCTTTTACGAAGAATATAATACCTTAAATAAGTTCATACAAAATCTCATATAAAAATATAACTTTTATACTTATAATACACTTTTATAATACTCTGTTTATATTATATTTCTAATAGTTTGTTCAGCAAATGTGTTTGTTTTATTAGTATTTACACCGATTTTATCAAATTGATTTGGACATATCTTGGCTGTCCATCCACCAGATAACTAACCAGTAATTACCAAATTCTACACAAGTGACGGACTACTTACTAATAGCACATGATTTCTGAATCAGCAGTGAGAGACAAATGATCATGTGTCTTGATGTCCCAGATAAATTCTCATGGAGAAATTATGGCTTGCCCAAGAATCAAACCTGCAACCCTATGACTACTAATTTGATGCTCTCTCTATTGAACTTAGCTGGACGACTCCATTAAATGCTATCTAAATCTACTGAGCAAAATTAAATATTATCGCAGAGCAATAACTCAGTGAGACTGAGATCATCCTACATAAATGGAAACAAATAAGGTTTACAAACCCTGTCAATAGCAGCTATGTAATCATTATATTTAGCACTGCCCTTTGTTAACTCAGAACTTCTCAATGGAAAACTGTCAGCTACCAATCTGTCTAGACTTGACCTGTATATAAACAAACATTTAATATACAATAACAGGTGAAATACATTGTTAAAACACAGAGTTAATACACTGTTAAAACAGTAGAAATTATGAAAACTTGGAAGTTGTGAATTAAGACCCACACACAGACAGAAGCATAAAATCCCTAATTTATGACTGAATGAAATGTTTTCATCATCTGTTACATTTTTCTTTAACTTTTGCTTAAACATTTTTATGTAGCATTTTTGTATGATATAGAATGACTTACTTGAGTTTAGCTGTATATGGGTCTGGAACACTAGCAAAAAAGGGAAAGGGGAGCTCCAACACTCACACTGAAAATACACAATATTTTTGTAAAAAGATTTTTAAAACTTAAAAACTTTTAACGGAGTCTTTTTACTGAAATTCCCTTTGCAATGTACTTCCCTATTAATAAGTATTAGATTTTTCTTGTTACTTTTAACTTTTTGTGTATTTTTTTTAAAAAGTCTGCAAAAAATTTATGTGCTTCCTGAAATTTTGCACTTTTTACTTACAAAAAAACTGTATTTATTTTTCCGGGAAAATTTTCGTTTTCATTTATGATATATTTTTTTTCATAAAGCATTTAGATAGGGTTTCAGCAAATGTAAATTTTTCCCCAAAATACCTAGGGTCGGGATTTTTAAATCCCACATGTCTACTAGGGTGGTCAGGGGTAAAAACTGGTTTTGAAATTCCATCAGGCATGCAGAAATAATGAACTAAACACAAAGTATATACTTTTTCAACACACACCAACATGGGTAACAGTAAAAGCCCAACCCCCCATTTCTTGGAAAAGCATAAAAACAGAATTATTTGAAGTAAGATATACCTTGAAAGACAGGCTGGTTCTAGTATCAGTGAGTAATGTCTGATACATGTTGAATACATGGTCAAATGACTTGTGGTCAGGACTGGACACAAACTGGAAACAAGAAAAATATGGAATACAGGTTATACAAAATAAGTCTGAAAATTCAATATAAAATGAAAACTGTCTACAGAGACTTGTCTTAAAAGATGACAACGAATATATTCTTTCTCAAAAGATAATGTACCATAACAAGTATTTCACAAATTTTGAATGAGCTAAAATGATGAACTTTTTTCATGTTGGTGCTCTTTAACATAGCTTTAACATTCAATGCTCTAATCAAAGCTAAGCATAAAATATACATGTAAGCAAAAATTTTGTCGAACATACCTTACTGTCAATCAGTAGGAGTTTGGTGATCAGCATTAGTGTCATACTTTGTTGATCTGTATCAGAGGATTTACCCCACCACCCTGACAATGATGCCCACTGTGTCAATATTGCATTCAAAACATTGGGGCCTTCGCTATAGATAAAAATTACAAGCATTTTGTTATAAAAACCTTGTCATTGACAACAAGAATTTTTTGTTTGTTTATTTTGTTTCATTTTACGCCTTTTCCCCAACAGTATTTCAGTCATATAGGCGGGTAGTTTCCTAACCATCATTCCTGGAGAGTTACACCAGTACTAGACTACCTTCCTCCGTGCTAAACTACCAAAGCATCTCCCGGGGATCGAACCCAAGCCAGGGAGGTAACTGGATTAGAAGTCATCAACTCTAACCCCTCGACCACGGAGGCAACAAGAATTTATATATATAAATTATTATAGTGACATGCAACACAGTCTATTGCAGCCAAAATATATATTTTTCTTGGCTTTAGGTAAACTCTATTAGACTATTAATATCAATCTGTTAGGGCAGACAAGCTCCTTGCCTATCATATGTTTTTTTTTCTCTTGGTTATTTATTAGTTTGAGTGTCTTGCTAAAATTATGAATTAAACCTTTGAAAATTAATTTTATTGTCATATGGTATCATGAATAGTAGTTTAATCCTTTATTCAATAAAATATGTATGTTATTTTAACAATGTTGTTGTATCTTGTGTCCTCCAATTATACACAACTGACACTAATGTGTAAATTCAAAGCATTTCAAATTCATGTATATTATCAAGGATGTATCTATTTATCATGATACCATAAAATATTTGTAAAGATTTTTTGTTAACTTGTAATGTAAGTAAACTATAATGTGGTAACCCACTACAATGGCAGACTTTCAGTCCAAAGATGATCATTCGGTTTATGCAATCATATGCAATAGAAAACACCCCATCTGAATCATTACTGTGATTAGTGACAATCTCATAATTTTATATAAAAATAAATTGTAAAAAATAACCTTTGCTGATTAAACCAATTTTCCACTTACCTTTTCCTCAAATCCCTATCCTTTGTCAAGAAGTCCACAGTGGCAATGAGCAAAGCACATACCCTGTTAGGCTCAGACTTTGCCTTGACAACCACAGCTGGTACAATCTCACTAGCATGGAGTATACAGTACCAGGAGATTGTACTTTTGAAGGTAGAGAAGAACAGATCACCATGTATTTGTTCTGATGCTTTATTAGAACCTCTACTAACCCAAGCTCCATCAAATATGTTAGACAGTACCATCTCACTCTGCAAAATTATATAGCAAAAACTGTAATGCAAAGAAATGACATTAAACTTATACTGCATCCCAACACTACTCACTAAAGAAGGCACCTTATTTACCTTAGCTAGTAATGTGCATGCAAATCTGCAAACAGATGCTAAATCACAAATAACTGATTTGAAAAATTCACTTTGGTGACATAAACTTCATGACAATAAACTTCTCCTATCACATCTTTACATTTCTTGATGTTTTCCAAGTAAAAGGCTAATTTAAAACAAATTATCTTTACCTTTATCCCTATGGAAAGAGCTAATTTCAGCATGACCTTTGCTAGTGTGTGTGCTGTAGGAGTCAAGGTCACTGATGTAAGATCACCAGTTGACTTTGATACTATACCCTGAAAAAAAATGAAACATTAATTAAAGCAAGGTGTCTTACATGTATATATATCTTACAGTTAATATCTATGTTACAACTGTGTAGTACCTTACTTATATCTTTCAAATATCCAATATATTATCAATTTCTTGTCATCACATCCTGCCACTATCTATGACCTAAACAGAACTGGTAAGAGATTGTATACACCATACACATTTAAATGACTCCACTAGGATTTTTGACATGATGGGGCTGGAAATAATTCAGATCCTTAGACTCATGCTTTTCTTGCAAATTTGGGTTTAGAATAGAACAAAAAATACAACTTTCAATTCATTTTAGACTATATTTCTTAACTATCTAGGATTTTAGGCTTTTGGGCCTCAGTGGAGTTGCTTTAAAGTAACAAAGTTCAAAAATTCAGCCAGCACATATAAATATATTTCAATAAATTTGCTATAACATTTTTGATAAATACCTGTATAAGATGTTTTAACAGAATTATTGCTGATGTAGAACCAAAAAAATCTCAACACAGATGTTTGTGCCAAAGAATTAACTCAACCTTAAAATATTACAGAACACATGACAAATTTTGTTTATAAAAGTTTTAATAAAACATACGCTTGGCACGAAAGTTATTCTGAAGTTCATCTAAATATATGTTCTATTATTAAAGTAATTATAACCTGATACACATTATCCATCAGCTGTATGGCACACTTGTTTCCAGTTTGTTGAGGTAAGCTAGGCAGTAACATATCTACATCATGAAGGAGCAGGTAACCAGAAAATATCTGCTGCATGCTAATATGGTCCACTGAACTGTCATCCAAGGCTACAGGTAACATCCTCAACAGGTTCCTGATCAAATAAAATAATAAGCAACTAAAACTTCTGACTTGAAAACCTGCAGATATAAAATGACAACCCATATCTGGCATCAATTAGACAATGACCACCTTTAATTGCCAATTTGAGACTAACAAGTTTTACAGGAGAAAATATGAGGCTTTGGAAAAAAAAGCTGTGTGCCAAAAAAAACAAGCATCCTATGGCACTATGCCAAATGTCTATGACATGTTGCATGACTTATGACATGGGCAAACCTTAATCTGAAAATTATATATAAAGATGCACTTAATTTCAAATGTATTTCTATTGCATAATAATTACTTTAGGATTTTTTGTTGTGTAAAAATGTTTTTATCTATATAAGGCAAATACAATGAAAAAAGGTCCAAAACATTTTAAGAAATTCTTTTACTATTGTTAAACTCTTCCTTATCCAATAATTGTTTTTGTTAAATTCTAGTATAATAACTTGAATGGTATGTCATGTTTTTTTCTGCTTCTTTGAAATTCATTGTCTGTTTCTTGCTTTTTTGCATCAAAAAGTTTTATGATAATTAATGTTCAGATCATAAGTGGAATACATTAACAAGTATTTCTATTTATAGGTCCAAGGGCCCCTAGTACTGATTGATTAAGTTAATCTGCAGGCTTGATAAAGGATTACCTATATCCAATATTTGATCATATGAAGTTTTAATGTTAATCTCAGTTGTAGGAATCACAGTAGTAATCTCTAGGTGTTAGTGTGACCTTCATCGCCAAGAAAATTTTGGACTTGTGAGAGGCTATTAATGACCCCAGATTGATCATAAGGTAACGTGTAAGCAACGTTGAAAAGCATTTGACTCTATCTCAATCCATTGAGAAGTTGCAGCACTTTGAAATCAATTTTGATGGAAAAAATCAACGCAAAATAGTGATTTTTGGCAATTTTGAGATGTCCCCTCGTTGCCATGGTAACAGAAAATTTAAGCCTGAGCATGTTGTTGCAAGGGCAATGGTCCAGTCAACATTTGTGCCAAGTTTGATTAGTGTTGAAGCAGGGATAGAAAGCATATAAATACGATTTTCAATTTATTCTAAAGTATATTTCTTAACTATCTTTGCATATATTTCTGTTTAAAGTGCCCTAGCTCATTTATGTAAGAAATTCAAATGTTATGTTTTTCAGCTTTTAAACCTCAGTGGAGTCCCTTTAAGAATAGGTTACCAAAACTAAAAAAACATTACTCAGCATAATATACAATTCTGCTTGATGTATAATTGTATTGTATAGAATTGTAAAATAATTACCAAAATGAAACAATAATATATAATCAAAATCAAATTTCTAATTTTGAATACCCAGATTTTGCCCAGCATCAGCTATATTAAAATCAAAGATTAGTTTCACTTTCTACAATTTGAAGTGACAGTTAAACGACACCCAGTATTCTATCTGTTCAATATCGTATTTCCAATGATTCTACTATCCATGATGAACATGTTTAGTTTTAAGATACCATGTGAAAATGGTGAACAAATCAGTTATTGTACTTCCATGTTGCTAACTTTCAGTGTATTTCTAAATTCTATCAGCGGATACCTGCCTCGAGTCTCCCAAAAGGTATCATATATACAACTCAACAAATTAGCAGTTTGTTTTCCTTGAAAGTTTTGTTGTTTGTAAATTCTGCTTACTTTCATTTGAATACCTTCATAACAGGTAAGTCCAACCCATTGTATGACCATTTTCTTCAGAACCACAAGCGGTCACAGGAGGTAAGTGTTTTAGAATAGAGGTTCTCACCTGTTACCTGCTAGAGACTTTGTGAAGTGTTGCACCATTTGTGTTTTAAACTGTTTCGAGAAAACTTGTAGAGTCTGCATCAGCTGTAATTATAAATAATCGTCATTTAATCCACATACATGTATTACATCATTAATATATTGTTAAAATCATAGCAATGCTTTATGAACTTCATTATGTGGAGAATTCTATAGGTGTCGTTATATTTGTTTTCAAGTAATTTTTCAGACAATACAAGTAAAACAGTTGCTTCCAGATTAATGCTGATTTTCAAAAAAAAAATGAAAATGTATTAAAAAGTAAAATATTTTCAAGTGAAAAAAAAGGAATTTACACATTGCACAAAAATTTTCAATCCATGTAAATTAGCAAATAGATGTCAAAATATGCATAAAAAGCTCTTACTAAGTTGGTCACACAGTAGAAATATTGTGATAAATACGGCAGAATCAGTCATTCATATGCATGGAACATATAATTATAGTTTTACTTGAATAGAATAAATTTTTAATTTTCTCAAATCACAGTACATATTTCTTAAGGTTTTTTTTCCTTTAGACTTTAAGGCTTATCTGAAGACATGCAGCTTTGAAGCTTAGATTGGGAAGATAATAATACCTCACAACTATAGAAATGATTTGACAAAATTATTGTCATATCTGAAAGATACAAAATTATTATCCTAAAATTACTATACATACTATGAATGAAAAATCTCCAAAAGTTATTACAAAGTAAACTATGATAGTGACTACATAGCTTACAATATTTCATAGATAAGTATTCAAGTATTTTTATTTATCTAGAAAACACAAGCCTCGTCAAAGAGGCATTACTGTTTTAATTACTTTGTGTAATAAACACACTATACCATCATTTGTAACAATGTTCAATAAAGAAAATTTTATGTAATTCTAGTACTTATGCTCATTGAATTTGTATCAAACAAAATATCTGTTACAATTTTGTTCAAGAAATTATATTCAAAGTCATTCGTTCTGCACTGCTGCCTCAACAGATAATTGTGAACAAGCTAGTAATTACATCAGGAGTATAACTAATATTTGTACAGCAATATACTGTTATCATTATGACTGATAAATTGCTAAATTATTTCAAAACTGAAACAAGTGGGCCATGATGGCCCTGAAATTGCTCACCTGTATATAGGCCCCCAGGAGGGGGCCAATTTTAACCCAGGGGCTTTTATTTGAACAAACTTTGTAGACACCCATTTGAAGATGTTTCAGGGTAAATATCTAAGTGTTAGCTGTAAGAAGATTTTTTAAGTTTTTACTATACATATATAGGGAAAAACAATGACCCCCCCCCCCCCTCTGGGCGGGGCCAATTTTGTCCCCAGGGCTTTTATTTGAACAAACTTGGTAGTCACTCACTAGAAGATAGTTCATGCTTAATATCTAAACTCTAGCTCTTTGGGTTTTTAAAAGAAGATTTTTTAAGTTTTTACTATATATACATATAAGGAAAATCAGTGACCCCCGGGGTGGGGCCAATTTTAACCCCAGGGCCCTTATTTGAACAAAAATGGTAGACACCATTAGATGTTTCATGCTAAATATCTTAGCTCTAGCTCTTAGGGTTTTTTAAAAGAAGATTTTTTAAGTTTTTACTATATACATAAAGGGAAAAACAATGACCTCCTGGGACGGGGCCAATTTTGACCCCAGAGCTTTAATTTGAACAAACATGGAAGACACCCATTAGAAGATGTTTCATGTTTAATATCTAAGCTCTAGCTATAAGGGCTTTTTAAAAGAAGATTTTTTTAAGTTTTTACTATATACAAATAAGGAAAATCAATGACCCTCAGGCGAGGCCAATTTTGACCCCAGGGCATTTATTTGAACAAACTTGGAAGACACTGACTAGATGATGTTTCATGCCAAATATTTAAGCTCTAGCTCTATCGGTTTCCTAAAAGAATATATTTTAAGTTTTTTCTTTTGGTTGCCATGGCAACAAGAGTTCTGCTTGGAATTAAATTCTTTGAACAATTTTTAAAGTTGACTACCAAAGGAACATTCCTGTGAAGTTTTGTTGAAATTGAATTATGAGGAGATGTCGTTTAAAGTAAAAGTTTACGGACGACTGACGGACGCCGGACGGACTCCCGACGAAAAGCGATCACAAAAGCTCACCATGTCTGAGCTATAAAAAAAGCTAGAAAAGCTGTATGTACCTCTTGTGGAAGATTTTTCATGATTTCAACATCTCCTAAATTAAAGCCCACATTTCCTGGTTTGATAACACAGCAGAGTATCAGTTCCCATAACTCCTTCCCAAAAATTGACTTGGGCATAACCTGTGATAATAAATGATCAATATTTCTATTTCATTACAACAATCATACAGTAATAAAATAAAACAATAATAAAAATCTCACAAACTCGGTTGTAAAACTCGGTTGTTTTTAGGATAAAAAATATTAATTCAATATGTTCATTTTTTAATATAATCAACTGTCCTTGAATGAGAACTATTTCAGAGTTGTACATAATGGCTTTTTAGTTGCTAAGGTGAAAAAATCTTTTAATAATTGTTTTTTCATAAAAAATGTTAAAACCATTTTTCAAGTTTAAAAGATATTCTTTTTACTATTTACAATCAAGCCCTCCAAATATTTAAACATGCATTCTAAACAAATTTTTCTCAATGAATATTTGATGTTTTTTTGGTTGTTGTTTTTTTTATGTGAGGGGAGCTTACTGATGTAATTCAATTTGATGTAAATGATTTCTATTTCAATTTAGGTACTATTGTAACTTACATTAATAGTTTCTTTAGCAAACTTTGCCAACATGATGGTGAGGAAACTGAATGTCCTTATAATAACTGTACATTTTGCCCTGTAAAAAGCATGAAATAAAAATATTTCCCGATGATAAAGTCATGTCTTTAACAAGAGCTTCTGTAAGACAGTTTGCTCAATTATTCTCAGTGCTTGACAGAAAGGAAAGGCACTAAGTCTGTTAAAAAGGTAACTCAGAGTTATAGAGACTATGCCCGTCATGTAAGATAAACACAGAGAACTGTGTGAAATTTCAACCCATTTCTACAGTAGTTTTGAAGATACTAACATGCATGCCAAAACTTAACCAAAATGTAATGGCAGGGTGAGTACAATATCTCTCTCTATTTCTTGAATAGTGGAGATAAAATTCCTAAACATATGCATGATTTAAACACACAGATATAGTGTACTCCTCTCAAATTGTAATACAATATTCATTCACAATATTATTTAACTCGCTCTTTTGGGCAGTAAAACTTATAAAGATGATCAAAGCCAAGATATTATGAAGGCCAAAATGTTTGCAATTCACATATTAATGCCAAAAAGATGTATATTTGCATTAATCAAGAAATTTGTATTTTAAGAACTAAAAACGCATTTTTAAATAATCACCACACAATAATTCAATCCTGGCTGTAGGAACAATACAAACCAGATGTGATAAGAAATATCAATGAATAAATTATGTTGCTTATAATCTGTACACTTGCACAGACAAACTGACAAAACAAAAAATTGAGAAGTGACATAAATATCTAGATGGATCTTAGACTAAACATTAAAGAACAATAGAAATGGCAATGTAAATACAGAATACAGAAAAAATCTATTATAAGATACTATTGATAAAAATCTGAGAAACCATCATAGTTAATCAAATATCTAAAGTTCATAAAAATAGTCTGTACCTATTAAAATCATCTCGATCCTTTGGAGTAAAATATTCATCCTCTGATTTTGTTGGGAATAGCTTCACTACATCCTCTATTGTAACCATGGAAATATTCTGTAGAAAGTACTCAAGGGAGACAAATATATGACTACCATCCCCAACTCCTGATTTTTCTAAAAATATATACATAAGATAATGATGTTTTAATACAAGGAAATAAACCAAGGTATTGTTAAGCAATACAAAAAATTTCAAAACTGAACAAGCAAATTCGTTGAATTTATATCCCCCGCCGAGTACTGGTTATTATTAACACAACAACTGAAGACATAAGGCTTTATTTATATATTAATCATGGCATAAACAGTAATATTCTTTGAACTTGATAAATATTCAGGGCAATAAAATAGCCATAACTGTGTGTTAAATAGTAATATCTGGAAATGCCAATGAGTTGTATGCATACTGCATAACTAATCAAGGGCCATAAATCTGAGTTATAAGTGTCTGACCGGAACAAGGCGACTATATGCACATTTCCTCTTCGTATCTAATAAAGTTTCATTGAATTCCAGCCAGTAGTTACAGAGAAGTAGCACGGAAACTATTATTGCTCTGGTTGTATACTGCATAAGTTATCAAGGGCCATAACTTTAAGTTAAAATGTCTGACCCGAACAAGCCGACGATATGCGCATCTCCTCTTGGTATTGAAGGTTCCCATAAAGTTTCGTTGAATTCTAGCCAGTAGTTGCAGAGAACTACTCCGGAAACGATATTTACTCCATATGCATATTGCATAACTAATCAAGGGCCATAACTCTGAGTTAAAGTGTCTGACCCGAACAAGCCGACGATATGCGCATCTCCTCTTGGTATTGAAGGTTCCCATAGAGTTTCGTTGAATTCCAGCCAGTAGTTGCAGAGAAGTAGCGCGGAAACGATTTTTACTCCATATGCATACTGCATAACTAATCAAGGGCCATAACTCTGAGTTAAAGTGTCTGACCAGAACAAGCAGACGATATGCGCATCTCCTCTTGGTATTGATGATTCCCATAAAGTTTCGTTGAATTCCAGCCAGTAGTGCAGAAACGATTTTTACTCTATATGCATACTACATAACTAATCAAGGGCCATAACTCTGAGTTAAAGTGTCTGACCGGAACAAGCAGACGATATGCGCATCTCCTCTTGATATTGATGATTCCCATAAAGTTTCGTTGAATTCCTGCCAGTAGTTGCAGAGAACTACTCCGGAAACGATTTTTACTCTATATGCATACTACATAACTAATCAAGGGCCAAGGGTCGGACCGGAACAAGCCGAAGTTATGCGCATCTCTTCTTGATATTGATGATTCCCATAAAGTTTTGTTGAATTCCAGCCAGTAGTTGCAGAGAACTACTCCAGAAACGAAATTCGGATGGACGGATGTTCTCACAGGACAGTAATTATGTGGCTACTCTATTGTTCTTTTTAGCCACACAAAAGAAAATAGCCACATAAAAGCATTACGGAATGAATGACATCAAAGAGAAAGAACAGTTACCTATTGTCCCTCTAGCCACATAATTACTCTCCTGTGAGTGCGGACGGACGGAAGGACGGACGGACAACGCCAAAACTATATCCCCCGCCCGATTCCATCGGCGGGGCATAATTATGTTGAAAAAAAGATAATGTAGTTTTATTAATTCTGGAGAGATGTTGCTAACTTTTAGACAGTGCTAGTTCTTCACATGTATGTGACAATATGTAACTAAATTCACATTCAGTGTATATAAATCACCCATGACAGACTTGCAAGTTAAGACTTTGCATCGCCAGCTGTTTTATTTTAATTTAACTTTGTTAATAAATTTGAATCCATTTAACAACTTGTGAAAAGTTTTAAATTAATTACCTAGAACATAAATCAAGGATATTGAATAATTTAAGAATACATTTAAACTATAAATAAGATATAAATTATAAACCAGCTTACTGGGAAACAGTTCTCCAGGTGAGAGAAGACTTTCACCAAACACCCATGTATAACAATCTAGTGCAGCCAGCAGATTGTCAAACCAGGATAATGTTATCTGCATGGAAAACTTGTCTGACATATCAACTAATGTAGGGAACCCCTCTATTCCAACTTTATCATGACCTAGATGTCCTCCACCTTCAAATCTGTAAATGTCACATACATACATACATCAGTATAACAGACATAAAGATTGACAGCAAATGACAACATCTTTTTTTTAGGCAGTTTACAAAAACGGTAACAGGCCATTGATAAATGGATAAATGAAGCAACTTTTACTTTTATACTTTGTATCAAACATGATATATTAAACATTTCTCCAGTTAAAACATTGACATATTTTTAAATTTTAACTTAAGAATTGATGGTACACAAAAACACTTGATCAGTATGTTAAAACAAGAACCGGTTGAACCGGGTGATGCTCCCCGAGAAGGTTCTGGACACAGGAAAGTATAAAAAAAATGAACAAAGTGCAAAAACTCCTAAATTAGGCAAGGAGAAGTTATGTTTCTTTGCACTGCACTTCTATTCAATGAGATCTATCTATCTATAAAGTTTCCTGATGATATCAGAGTTATGTCCCTGGTAAAATTCAAAGTGTAAAAATAAACAAAGGGCAATAACTCCAAAATTAGACCAGGCTTTGTTTAGGTTCTTTAAGCATTGCAGTTCTATCCAATTATATCTAGCTACCTACAAAGTTTCATGTTAATATCTCTAATAGTTTTAAAGTTATGTCCCGGACAAAAGTCAAAAAGTAAAAATAAACAAAGGGCAATTACTTCAAAATAAGGCAAAGCAGAGTAATAATTCTTAAGCACTGCACTTCCATCCAATGAGACCTATCTATCTACAAAGTTTCATGTTCAGATATCTCTTATAATTTTAGAGTAATGTCCCGGACAAAGTTCAAAGTGTCAAAATAAACAAAGGGCAATAACTCTAAAAGTAGGCAAGACAGTGTTACAGTTCTTGTGCACTGCAAACCTACTTAATGAGATCTATCTACCTACAAAGTTTCATGTTGATACCTCTTATAGTTTTAGAGTTATGTCCTGGACAAAGTTCAAAGTTCAAAAATAAACAAAGGGGGGTAATTAAAAAATTAGGCAAGGCAGAGTTATGGTTCTTGTGCACTGCACACCTACTCAATAAGATCTATCTACCTACAAAGTTTCATGTTGATATCTCTTATAGTTTTACAGTTATGTCCTGGACAAAGTTCAAAGTGTAAAAATAAACAAAGGGGAATTATTCAAAAATTAGGCAAGGCAGAGTTACGGTTCTTGTGCACTGCACACCTACTCAATGACATCTTTCTACCTACAAAATTTCATGTTGCTACCACTTATAGTGTTAGAGTTATGTCCCAGACAAAGTTCAAAGTGTAAAATAAACAAAGGGGGATAATTCAAAAATAAGGCAAGGCAGAGTTACGGTTTTTGAGCACTGCACACCTACTCAATGAGATCTATCTACCTACAAAGTTTCATGTTGATACCTCTTATACATTTAGAGTTATGTCCCGGACAAAGTTCAAAGTGTAAAAATAAACAAAGGGGGATAATTCAAAACTTAGGCAAGGAAGAGTTACGGTTCTTGTTCACTGCACACCTACTCAATGAGACCTATCTACCTTCAAAGTTTCGTGTTGATACCTATTATAGTCTTAGAGTTATGTCCCGGACAAAGTTCAAAGTGTAAAATAAACAAAGGGGGATAATTCAAAAATTAGGCAAGGCAGAGTTACGGTTCTTGTGCACTGCACACCTACTCAATGAGATCTATCTACCTACAAAGTTTCATGTTGATATCTCTTATACTTTTAGAGTTATGAACCGGACAATGTTCAAAGTGTAAAATTAAACAAAGGGGAATAATTCAAAAAATAGGCAAGGTAGAGTTACGGTTCTTGTGCACTGCACACCTACTCAATTAGATCTATCTACCTACAAAGTTTCATGTTGATACCTCTTGTTGTTTCAAAGTTATGTCCCGGACAAGAAAAGGGGACGGACGGACGGATGGACGGAAAGCCGGACGGACGGACAAGGCGGCGACTATATGCTCCCCCGAAATTTTTTCGGGGAGCATAAAAATGCAATCTGTGCAGGTTATCAACTAAATGCATAAAACCAATATCATTGATATACAGATTGAAAGACTAATAGTGATAACCTTTCTATCCAGTATACAGGTCCCTTTCCTTTCAGACATGCTTGAAAAAACTTCACAGGGGTCTTGATTCCTGGAAAATACATACAAATCATAAAAAAAAAACAAGAAATAAGAAACTAAGAATGCATCTTGCTTAAAATGAGCAAGTTTATCATAAAATCCCTAACATAGTTAAAATAAAAGTTTACCACCAAATCATAAGTTAACTGCTTTGAACCATATAGAAATGATGGAATAATTTACCTCTAATTAGAGTACAGTGTCAAAATAATACTTAACATCAACATAGCATACAAATTTTATGAGTTTACTTCAAAGTATAGATCAAAATTAACATAAAAGTTTACTTTCAAGTAGTTTAAAATGAGTTTAGACAATGGTTTTTTCCAAACTGAGTAAAGTATTTATATAAAAATTTACTTTTACTTGATATGACAGTAAAGAGTTGATTTGATAGTAAAGAGTTGATATAACAGTTTATCTCAAATGATTTGACAGTTAAGAGTTGATATAAGTTTATCTCAAATTATTTGACAGTTAAGAGTTGATATAACAGTTTATCTCAAATGATTTGATAGTTAAGAGTTGATATAACAGTTTATCTCAAATGATTTGACAATTAAGAGTTGATATAACAGTTTATCTCCAATGATTTGACAGTTCAGAGTTGATATAACAGTTTATCTCAAATGATTTGACAGTTAAGAGTTGATATAACAGTTTACCTCCAAGTAAAGTACACAGTTGATAAGATAGTTTCATACATGCATGTCTACATTCAGTTTGAGGTCTACCACACTGTCGTGTCACCCAGCGTACTGCTATCTCTAATGTTACACTGCTCCAATGTCTGTACAAATATATTCATGCAGTTAAGAACTTACGACTATTGTGGAAGAATTTAAATTAGTAAAAGTTCTTCAAACTTTATATTCAAGAATTTCTCTCCACCCTAGCTTACTTCCTTATGTTTCATCACTGTTCATTGAATTATTATCACTTATGGAAAAAGGTTTTTTACGTGTATAAAAAGTTCTTCAAAAGCTGTCTCTCTCATTAAGGAACATGCACAATTAATTCAAACCCAGTACATGTATTACCACTGAAACTATGAAAAGTTTTGCGACAATCTACGATATGAATATATCACTAAATTAGTTTCAAAAGCTAAATATTTAGAAAAATATTCCTAATTACTTTGGTTCAGTTCGAGACTTGTTAGGAACTTTCAGTAGGGCAGCTTTATATCTGATTATCTTTTCTAGATGTTCCAAAGCTTTGCCACACTGCTCCTGTGTACCTGCATAATTAAAATAACCATAGAACTTTTCAAAGCTAAACTTCCAAAATGTTCGAAAATTATCGGGGAAAAAAATCAAGATAAAACAGTTACTCTTTTTACATTATGAAGTCCTTTTGTAATGTTCAAGAATGATATATTTTGGTATCAAAGTTTTAACTGTTAAAACTAGATGGGTTTGGATAAACAATACTCCTCTGTATAGTTCTATAGATCCGAACTAAATGTAATTTTGAAATGTCAGAAAAATGTCAGTGTTTATGAGTTGAAAAGTATCAAAGTAAATATCAATGGGCAGTACTTTCATTATCTGACACCTCCATATTATCTTGCCAAGTCTTCAAAATATATAAATTTTACCTAGTGATTTTTCATCATTGTGAGCTATTGCCAAACTTTCCACAAAGTGAACAAGCAGCTGGAAAGTGAATAAGTTAACAAGAGGTTCTTCTTCTCTGAAAAAAATAACAACAAGAGTTATTAATAAACACTGGCAGTCACTTTGAAAATTGTCACAATTTTATCATTAATGCATTGATTTCAAACTGATGTAGCAACATATTCCAATGATTGTTTTAGCTTACATGTTTCAATGATGTATCAATGAATTCAATGACAAGATTAATTAGAAAGAGAAATTAAAGAAGCAAAAAAGGAAATGTACATAATATAACAAATATCCACATTTTGGAATATAACTGTAGAAAATTATTGAGAAAATCATCTGCTAAAAAACTCATTCTGTTAACTTAATGAGTGAAACACTGACTGTAACTCTCTTCACCTTACCCCTCCCTTCACCTTACCCTAAGAGGGCATAAAAGCAATTCTAGAATAAATTTCAACACAATTTTCATACAACAAAATTAGTATCACTCAGGCTTAACTGTGCGATGTTAGACTATCAATTAAATAAAATTTAGTTTAAGAGATAATACCAATAAATAATACCTGAGTATTGTATAAATGTTGTTGAATGCGAGAGCTGCACCAAGTCTCTTGAATGGACTTGGATGGAGGGCGTAACTGAATAGCCTCTTTAAAACAGACTTTGCATTGGCAGGGTTTGTCTCTGATGCCTATAAAAGAAGTGATCAAATATAAATGCACAGATTCAAATATTGTCTTAATTAAACAATTGATATTGGTTCAAAAGCATGTGAACTATAAGTTTAAGCAATTGGCTAAACAACGTTCACATCAAAATTCCTTTGTGCAAAATGAAACCTGAATTTTACTTAATGTTGTTTTTTTTTACTAGGCTTTAAATTATTTAAAAAATTACTCTACCTTTTTTGGCACAGCATAAAATTTTCTAACATTAACAATAATATGTTGTCATTTCATAGCTAAAGGTAACAGTAGCACATAGTTATCGTCATACTGTTTCAATCAGAAATTATATAAAGTAAAAACTCAATAATCAAAACAATTAATTGTCGATTATTTCTTTCTCTCTCTATTTTATAGAACATAAAGGCTGATATTTTGTCAGTACAACAAGAAATATAGGCATATATTGTATTGTACAAACCTTTTTGCTGGTCTGTTTGATTGACCATTTTAAGAATTCATGTAAGCAGCGAGCACAGAAATCTCTGAGAGCAGTGTCATTCTGTTGTATCATGCCATCCTGTAACACCATTATAACATTACTGTAAAACTTATATAATACATTAAAGGAACAATATAACAAAATACACAATGAAATTTATACTAAAGGTTCTTTATATTGGAGAGAAAAATAAAGAAATTTAGATTGAATAAGTCTCCCTTAAAAAGCCACCAATTTACTATTCTTAAAAATTTACTAACTGTCACAACAAACATATGATTGATCTAATGATAACTTACATATATAGCATCAAGCAAACACATTGTTTCATCACTTTCAGATTTTTTACTTCCAGTAAACCAGTGAATTATCTGCATTGTCAGTGGCTCAAACAACTCTCTAGCTACCTAAAAATTATAGCAAAAATATAACATTAATATATATATATTTAACACATTTAACTATAACCTTCTTTAAAGATACCCTAAATGAATAAAAAATGTAAAAAAAATATATCACTTATTGAAAAAAATCAACATGGTACATGTATTCCTCTTAATATCAAATTTCTTTACATTACATTCAGTCAGTAATAAGACGTTTTATTTTATTATAGTATCATAACGTTTCTTTTATGCGCCAAATGTGGCGTATTAATAGACGTCTGTTTTGTACGTTTACGCCATTTCCTTTATGTATCAACTGACAAAGCTAATAAAGCAAAACATGTATTGATATTTAAATTTGTGTTGGTTTTTGATCTATTCGTCCTATCTATTATATTTACATAAAATTTCACAATAATACACAATTATACATAAATACATTAATGTAGATACACATAAGGGATGGGCCAAAAGTTATAACAACAGTATCGAGGGCTCTCCTCTATTTCACTTATACAGAAAAATAGACATAAATCATAAAAATTTGATTTCTAAAATTGCAGAAACATTTCAGTTTCTTGATATGAATAGAAATATCCACATAATGTTGTTGATTTGACATAAACTAGATACATATGTAGTATAATAAAATAACAGTTACTGAACTCTTTAAAACAATATAAAACTTACGAGTTCCACATCACAAGCCAGTTTTAACATGGCAGGGAAAATGTTTTTAAACAGTGGTGCCATTGATGCCCGCTCAATACGAGCACCTGGTTGCTGGGCTCCTCTTCCTATACTGTAGATTACTAGAGAATGGAGCAACTCACATGCTGCAACCTTAGTCTGTCTATCACTAGATGTCGTAGCTAACTCAGTTACATGAGGCAGAAACTGGTCTGCAATATAACGAAATATATAATCTTATTCTACGTATATAATTATATATAATCATCAGTCAAAGGATGACAAAACTACATCATATACCATTGGTTATACTTCATTAGGTTCTGCTGCTTCTTTTTTAACAAATAAACCAGATTTCAGTACTGACAAAATATTGGTCAATGTCTGATGACATGTGATAACTTAGAATTAATATCTATATCATACAAGAGCTGTCCACAAGACAATTTGCTTGACTGTTCTGGATACATATATTTGAATATAAGTGGACTAAGAAAAGGTTGTAAAAACATTAAGTCAATAAAGAGACATAATTATCCCAAAATTTATGACAGAGTTATATACTCTTGATGGAAGTGATGGTCACAAATTGTATCACATGTTACAAACCACTCAATAACAGAGTTATGTACTCTTGTCTGGAATTAGGGGTTATGGTCATTAACAAGTTATTTAAGTTTAAAAGATATATAATTAATTAAAAACATGTGGTTGTACAATAAAGCAAACTTAACCAACTACAGCTAATTCTCGGGTGTGTAGGATAGTTCTTTGTATTGTTTAGATATAATAACTGAGCTAACTAGAACTGTGTCCAAAGGACACGGATGCCCCAACTGTGCAGATGTGCTCGTAAACAAGAGCATGCATATCTGTATGTAAGATTTTTATGTGGAACTTTTTATTAAAATCTGCCATCCGGTTTAAGAGGAGTTGCGTTCACAAAATTTCTATATGGTATATAGTGAAAAAATCAACAAAGGGCCATAATTCTGTTAAATTTGGTCGCAGCAAAAATTCCTTCCTAAACTTTCATCTGCACATTAAGGTTGTTCATCCCTGGAAGTTTAAGCAAAATCTGCCATCAGGTTTAAGAGGAGTTGCGTTCACAAAATTTCTATATGGTATATAGTGAAAAAATCAAGAAAGGGCCATAATTCTGTTAAATTTGGTCGCAGCAAAAATTTCTTCCTTTACTACCATCTACACATTAAGGTTGTTCATCCCTGGAAGTTTAAGCAAAATGTGCCATCCGGTTTAAGAGGAGTTGTGTTCACAAGATTTCGGGACGTACGTACGTACGAACGTTCCAACATTTTGGGTTTAGGGGCTATTTTCTTTATTATTTTCTTTGTTTTCTTAAGGGCTACTAGCCCATAAACCCTTTGATCACAGAATGAACCTATTGTTCTCTTTTGTTCTCTTTACAGTAATATAGCCCCTTAACCCAAAATGTTTGCTCAGACAGACGTACGGACGGACGAACAAGTGTAACGCTATATGCTCCCCACTTTGTTGGGGCATAAAAATGAAAATAAGGTCATGAATAAAATTATTGACCTCTGGAATAGCCTAATTAACCTAAATTACATTACTAACTGGACTTAAGTAAGCTTATATTACCTAAATAAATGGTGGGTTTCATATCAACAAAGGGCATATCAAATTTGAGATGTTGTTGAGTGTCCCATGTTATAGCTGTCTTGGCTATATCATCATCTACATGTGCTAACATAGCAGTATTCACACTACCTCCAAGTGAGCCGAGATATTTCATTATCCTCTCCTTCATCACTGCCAACTGTGACTGATAATTCTAGATAGTATACAACAATGATTAGCTTAGTGTTATCATATACAGTCTTGTGTCCAACTTTTAACAACTTTGATGCGAACACTATATACAGGTGAGAACCTAAATTTTGCTTATTTAATATAAAATGTGTGCAATAAAAAAAAAATATATTAAATCATAAAATTTTCTTTATCTGTTGCATTTAACGTCATAAGGGTACACACATGTAATTGAAAGGAAAAGATTTTTTATCCCTTTACCATTATTTTGACACTCAATTTGTGTAAAGGATTTACCTGTATGGAAGATTCCTTCTTGCCACGGACCAGTCTCACACTTAACTTTTTACGACCTTTCCCAGATTTACTCTTGTTTGTGCTTACATTTGAGTCAACATTTACATCATCAGCTCCTTCAAATACATAATTCCTCTCTAATAATAAACATATCATGATTTTTACCTTTTCTTAATAAGAAACTAATGAAAGTAAATTATTTATAATCAAAATATACATCTGTACATTACATACAATTACAGCACATTAAAGAAAATCAAACAGCTATTTTACAAAACAACTTCTCAATCAAAGAAAAAAAATATGATTAAGCAAATGCATTCAATCTTCAAATAACTATATGCTATATTTTGTTTTTCAAAGAAGGGCATGACTTTATGAAGGCAATTGAGTTTTACCTTGATCAGAAGTTTTCAGAAAGCTGTCTAGATAAGGAAGTATCTCTGTATAGTGTGAGGACATCACATGTTCTGGTAGAGTTCTTGACCATTGTTCTAATGCATCCATAGCAATCATTGCCAAGGGCAAATAACTTAAACCAAGGTTCAAGGTCACCTAAATATAAATACACAAAAACAATGAGGCAGGATTTAAACAGACTGAAGGATAAAATTTGCCACATAAGTTTTTAGTTATCATTATAGATTCAATTTTTCTTCTTTCATATACATTAAGAATGTAGTAAAGATATTTCTAGCATCTCCATCCATAATCATTGACATGAAATAAATGAGTCTTTTTGTACAAGTGAGCTTCACAGAGCTGCTTCCTTGAAACATCACTCTGTAGACACATTAGTATGATACTTTATCTTGTCACACTAGACTATAGCAAGACTGACCAGTTTTCTAACTATCCCTTTAATGTGGCGTGCCATGCTGTCTGAATCATATATAACAGTATGTACCTGTATAGCAGGGACAACATCCCTCATCTGATCTATGATAACTTCTTTAGGTAATGCCAGGATAAAGGTAAGACAAGCTGCCAGTAACTCATCCCTGTACTGCTTCATTCTTACTAGAACCTATGATATAATACTAAAATATTACATATATGCGTGATAATGTCGGAGGGAAAGCTTTATAAATGCTCATTAAAATCGTATAGTACACTATTTACATAGATATACAAAAGCTTTATAAATGCTTATTAAAATCGTATAGTACAGTATTTACATAGATATACATTAAAGTTTTCTTTGCGCTCAATCTTTTATCTCAAGTTTTATATTTTCCATGAAGGAAATCTAATAGTCTTATAGTTTACATTCCTTCAAAGCATTAGTGCTGTAATGCAAAATGAGGTCTTAAACAGTCCCTTAATCTGCAAAACATGTTTATAATTAAATTATGCAACCAATCTATTTAAACATAAATTGCAGATACAGTTTGAACCTTCAACCAGCTAGAACCAATAAACCTGTGCCATCAGTACACGTTAGGTAAATCAGCACATCCAATGCAGTTTGATCAAGTTCTATACTGTTGCTAGCTCATTTTCTATATTTTACAATTGAAATCCCTTTAATTTTAAACAGTGTAATGTTCCAAATTCAATGCTTGGCAAATTCTTTACAAAATAACAGCAGGTTAAGTGTTAAAAACGCATCATTCATGAACACAATACAACCTCTTTTGAGAATTTCTTGATAAGAAGATAGCATGTGTATTTTTGTGACTGTCCCACTGATCCTGTTGTCTCTATATCCATAGAATCTGTTTCACGTTTCACCTCTGATGGATCTGTATTTTCTGCCATATCCTGACATAGGAATGTTTTACTTAAGTATATTCCTATTAAGTTTATGATTATCCACCTGCAACAGATTTTACTAAGTGACCAAATGCTGTCAAACTGTACATAAAACACTTAAACATTTTTCCAAACCGCTTTGCTTAGCAACTCATGACAAAAGATTGTTGAATAAAGAAAATTTAATAGTTTTTCGTCAAAGTTGTATTATCTATCCCATTAAAAACTATGTACACATACTATTTTACACCTTGCACGTCTGCACACCAAAGAGCCCAGTTATAACATAGACATACCTAAGATTATCAAAGTTATTCCAAGCATTACTTCAGGGATCAATAAAATAGAGGTTGTAATAGTGATGTAATGGGCATCAATAAAAGATATATCTATTTATAACACATATCTGTCAGACATATCTAACAAAATATTCTGTATTAAATGTATATGAAGGATGAGAATACCTGAAAGAAGTTGAGTTTGTTGGCAATCTTCATACACACAGACAGCAGCTTATAGAAACCGCTCGCCAGTGGATTACTGAAAACAGAGGACAAACAGTTTAATCAATTTTGATGAAAATATGACATTATTCGAAAAACAAAAATTATTACAAGTAAGTGTACAGTATATCATGAATGTTATTTAAGCTTCTTATAAAGTTTACCATAAATATACTTCCTTCATGAATAGTTTTTTTCCCCATTGCTAAAACCATGGCAAACAGTAGGAAATATTTTATTCTCATCTTTCCCAAAGTTCATATATGGCACTCTCAAAAGACTTAAGATTAAAAAGATAAAGATATTTGATCCTAAAGATCAGCTTATTTGTCAAAACGTATCATTTTTTGAAGTACAGGTTTTGATTGGCAAGGTTATATAGTAATTTTGGAGCAAAATCTCATATAGTCCAATGTGCATTTTTCAGATGCAAGTGAAAACTGAGTAGCATCTTTGGTACCATCCAGCTAGCTTATGGAAGAATCCATACTTTGAAGTTATTAATCAAACAAGTTACAGTAGTAAATATGGATTTACTGAAACAAGAACACTTACTCTGTGGACATGAGTATGAGCTTATGAGTGAAAGGGAACACCCACAGTTCAAACCTCTCATAGTGTTTATGAGGTAACAGATCTTTACAGAAGTCTACTAGATTGATAAACACTTGGAAATCTTTAGGTTTTCTTGCCTGGACACCCTGGAGGGGGTCAGCACTTGCTACACCTGAGTCATCATCAGCACTTGTGGTAGGAGAGTCCCCTGACTGTAAACAATGCTTAATATAGAGTAACTGTTGTAAGTAACATTTGCTGTCACTGTAACACATGTACAAATATCTATTTTATCCTTTGATTTAGTAATTGCCATTTGCATGTCAAAAAAAATCTAGAAAAGATATAAAATGAAAAAGCATTTTTGGGCAGGCTAGTAAACTTTTATTGAATAATAAATGTTATTTACAAATCAAGCAGATAAAGATACATGTATATATCAAGATGCAAAGACCTTTTAAGAAAATATCAGTACTAAAACTATAGAATTATAACCTACGATATAGTTCTCAATGACACCTTCAAATGATTTCACTTAGTTTTCACACAATTTCCTGACATAGTATATGATACTAGTTCAGCATAATAAAATAGATTTTAAAAAGACAATACATGTACCTCAGGTTTTTCATTTGGATCCGATGTTAAATCCAGTTTATCAAGAATCTTCAACACGGATGTTATTATTTCATTATAAATTGCTTCTGTCAACTGTCTTCTAGTCTCTAAACTAATATCTGCTGCAGCAAAATCCTGAAAAAGAGAGACTTATAATGTAACATAATTTGTAAATGCTACAATGTCATATCCCTGATTAAAAATAATTCTCTATTATGGTAAAAATTCCTTAGCCATACCAATAATTGGCTTACAATTCATCAAAATATATAAATTTTAATTACTTGTTATAAAAAAAGTTTATCTAAACCATCTGGATATGTAATAAAGTTTGCTCTGGAGAGAGTAAATATTCAAATATCAACATTATAAGTATTTATTGAAAGTAAACATCATGTGATAATCCTCTAAATTAGCTATACCTTGATATTTGGAGCATCTAGCAATCCACTCCATGTTTCCATGAAATCTTTGTATGTTATTTTTTTAATCATAGGATCATCTTGAGTTACCTCCCCTTCATTTTCTGTCTCAATCACAGGCAGATGAGAACATGTGCGGATTAAGCTCTGGTACACTGTCAACACAAACGTAATATTATCTTAAAATAATAATTATTAAAACTATTTCAACAACATTTATTGCAAAAAATGTAAAAAAAATCCTTTCTTCTTCATAAGACTAAAATCCCACAATATATCATCAATGAGGTAAATATTTTCTTAATATTTAAAAGAAAACTATTTCCTTCAAACCTAAAGATTCTGTCTGTTTATATTTAAAATCATAAATTTCTATGCCAAGAAACAACTTTATCAAAAAATATATATTTACGATATATCAAACATATTACCAAAGCCAGACAGGACTTGTTTAAATGTTGTTCCTTTTGGAATTAAAGCAAAAAGTAGCCAGAGTATAGATCTACGACACATGAAATGTTTGGTGTAATGAATGTTTGGCATATTCTCTACAAGTAGGACCATCAGGTACTCGAGGGACATGGCATATGACTCTGACACAGTTGGCATCTCTCGTACAATACTGGCTAGAGACTCGAGGTAACTAGCAAGGTTATACAGCTTGTTCTCTAGATCATCAGTTTGTCTGCAAATAATAAAATTCATATATTTAGTGTACCTCCACAAAGAGAAGACTATAATTACCTTGCTTGAAATATACTTGATTTTTCGATAGAAACTACTTGATTTTTCAATAGAAACTAAACTTTAGCGGGTAAAAAACTATATCTTATGAATTTTTCTTAATAATACATGTATTAACATTAGAATTATATTGTTTCAGTAATGTTATGGTCAATGCTCGAAAGGGTTGTAACATAGTTTTTATCTGCTATTTAACATGCATGAATATTGTACCTTAAATGAACAAAATGTTCCAGAACTAAATATTATTTTGCTATTTTAAGTAGGGTTCTATCTGTATAGCAATGCCTCTGTGTATGCGCCATTCACTTTTAAGGCAATTTAATACCATATTTCTTTCATACAAGTATTTTGGAAGTATTCTTTTTTTAAAATTCAAACAAAGATATTTGTAGTAGATATATACATTTAAAAGGCATACCCCATAAACTGCTGCTCTGTTTTTGTTAACATCTCTGCAAACATAAACTGTACATCAGCAGGCTTCATGTAACATCTACACGGCTAAAACACAAGTTAACTTGTTGAAATACAATGTGGTAATACTCTAGATGCTCCAAAGTGCTAATTTTGACAAAACTATTACATAATATGAATTGGTATCTGAAAATTTTCTTATCTTAGGGACTTATGACCATGATTTAAAAAATTACAAGGTAAATACCCAGTGTTCCATAATTGTTAACATTCTGTATACAAAAAAAATCCTGAATATTGTATCTATACTGCACTTATTTATGAAATTCAGCCCCTCAAGCCCTTAACATATTCTTATTAGATGAAATAACAATTCAGAGATGTCAGTGGGACAGTGTGCCCAACTATTCTCAGTGCTTCGAAAAAGGCCAACATTCTGTCAAAATCTATGATAGAGTTATGGGCCTTAAAGAGGGGCCTACTATTATGCTCTCAGTAGTTTTGGAGATATCATCTTGCATGCTAAAACTTAACCAAAGTGTGACGTTGACACCAACCTTGATGCCTGAGTATCAGAGCTCTCCCTACTTATCAAATATTCAAGTGAAAAATTGATTTGGAACAAATTGGGTAAAATTTAAGTGGTTACTTAAGTTTAGAAAGTCATTGTCATACCCCAGCTAATAATCCATATCCCTTTATAGCCAAAGATAATTCTTTTGCTGTGGCATTCTCATTATGCATGATCTCTCGAAATTGTTGGAAAAAGTACTGAAACAAAATTCATATTTTATGAACAATGATATACATGTGAATGTGTTTTAGGTCATGCTTTGACATCCTTATAGCCAATGTCCGTGCATTATTTCAGAGGACAATAAACCTTCCATAAGCTAACTGAATAGCTTTCAAACATGAAATTCAGCAGGATTAAAATCAACAATGTTGAAGTCAGTAACCTTAAGCGTTAGGCATCTGTGTACCCTAAATTACAGAAATTACAGGGCTTTACTTGTATGTTCAAATAACAGAAGCATATTTGACAGAGTAGAACACAGATATGAGTAATGGCAATTTAGTAAAATTAAGTTACTTGTGTTCAATATTGAGAATTACAAAATGTTCTTTTCATATAAAAAGTAAGCAAACTATGTTACAGTTAAGGATAAGACCTACCTTAAAGATAGCTCCACCTTCTTGAGTTCCACCTTTAGCCTTCTCTTTTAACATCTCTGATATCTGTTATGTAAATAATCAAACATTCTTAAATACATAATACATACAATAAGACATCATTTCTTTATACTGATATCACAGTCATTTCAACTGTTAGATGAAGTAGATCTGTCTGATAGTAAAACAAGTGCCAACATCATGCACAAAATAAACTAGAACTAGAAATGTGTCCATAAGGACACAGATGCCCCCACACACCACTGTTCTGTCAATCTTATGACTCTAGGTCAAATATTTTTTGGACTACATGTGCCACAAGTTGAAAACAAAAAATCAACAAAGGGCCATAATTCTGTTGAATTTGGTCACAGCAAAAATTCCTTCCTTAACTACCATCTACACATGAAGGTTGTTAATCCCTGGAAGTTTAAGCAAAATCTGCCATCCGGTTTAAGAGGAGTTGCGTTCACAAAATTTCTACATAGTATATAATGAAAATATCAACAAAGGGCCATAATTCTGTTAAATTTGGTTGCAGCAAAAATTCCTTCCTTTATTACCATATACACATTAAGGTTGTTCATCCCTGGAAGTTAAAGCAAAATCTGCCATCCGGTTTAAGAGGAATTGCATTCACAAAATTTCTACATAGTATATAGTGAAAAAATCAACAAAGGGCCATAATTCTGTTAAATTTGGTCGCAGCAAAAATTCCTTCCTTTACTACCATCTACACATTAAGGTTGTTCATCCCTGTAAGTTTAAGCAAAGTCTGCCATCAGGTTTAAAAGGAGTTGCGTTCACAAAATTTCTACATAGTATATAGTGAAAAAATCAACAAAGGGCCATAATTCTGTTAAATTTGGTCCCAGCAAAAATTCCTTCCTTTACTACCATGTACATATTAAGGTTGTTCATCTCTGTAAGTTTAAGCAAAATCTGCCATCCGGTTTAAGAGGAGTTGCGTTCACAAAATTTCTACATAGTATATAGTGAAAAAATCAACAAAGGGCCATAATTCTGATAAATTTGGTTGCAGCAAAAATTCCTTCCTTTACTACCATCTACATATTAAGGTTGTTCATCCCTGTAAGTTTAAGTAACATCTGCCATCAGGTTTAAGAGGAGTTGCGTTCACAAAATTTCTACATAGTATATAGTGAAAAAATCAACAAAGGGCCATAATTCTGATAAATTTGGTTGCAGCAAAAATTCCTTCCTTTACTACCATCTACATATTAAGGTTGTTCATCCCTGTAAGTTTAAGCAAAATCTGCCGCCCGGTTTAAGAGGAGTTGCGTTCACAAGATTTCGGGACGTACGGACGGACGTACCAACGTCCATAAGCAAAATAAGCTCATAAAAACAAAAAAATAGCTCTTAATTTGAATTTTATGAGTTTTTGTTCTTTATTTAACTACGGAATGAAGCTCATTATAATCAAATGTTTGCTCGGACTGACGGACGGACGGACAAGTGCAACGCTATATGCTCCCACATTGTGGGGGCATAAAAAGTTTAATCCTATCTATCATTGATAAATTACTAATAAAAGACCTGTCAGAGAAGGCAGCACAGCATGCTCAACTGAAAAAAAAATACTGGACACATTTATATATAATATTAGGGTTACAACCATGTTTCTAGATATCAATACTGGTTCATAATCTTCAACCTAAAACATAATTGTATCATAGTTTGGGGCCTTATCTGTTGAAAATGTGTCACATTTAAATCATATACATATACATGCACAGTGCGTTAACTGGAGTGCAGGTATTAGTTACCCGCACTCCAGAGCATGTCTGTTGGTTGGCTCATTTTTGCTGGGGTTGACATATTGTGATGGCAGAGAAAGGGATAGCGATAGAAAAATCATATTCAGATGCTAGTTCATTGGTTTCATTTTTTCTGGGGTTTCATATTGTGACAATAGGGAATGTGTTTTTATGTTTGACTATGAAACAAAAGAGAAAGATCATCACAACACTCGGCAATCTAATTAATACTCGGGGCGCTACGCTATTACTTATTTAAGTCATAAGGCAATTTTTTAGCTTTACTGCTGGAGAAAGACCTCAGGTATCCTTAGCTGCATTATTTCAAGCATAAGTGGGCATATGGTTTTGAAAGCTATTAAGACAAAGTTAGATATTTGTTGCTGATATAATTAAATCGCATTGACCAGAGTTAAATATGATGAAATAGATAAAACATTGACCAGAGTTAGATATGATGAAATAGATAACAAGAAACATGGCAATGCCACAAAACCAGGTTTTCAATTATCTCCATTGTAGATAAATATGTTGTATTTGAAATACAAATACAAGCAATAAACTATGTGCAATGTAAAACATGAATAATGTAGGAGGAATTGCCACAGAAGAAGTGTTCACTATATATTCTGTATATATAAGGAAAAAATAATTTCTGTATAAGGAAAAAAAAACAAAGGGCCGTAATTAGGTCAAAAATTATCCAATCACAAAACCTCTACAATATGCGCCAGGGCACTTGATGATATGGCTTCTGTGAAAGTTTGAACAAAATCTGTTGAGAAATGTAGGACTAGTTCAGCACAGAAGAATTTGATCATTATACATTGAGGAAAAAAAACAAAGGGGCATAATTAGGTCAAATATTACCAAATCACAAAATCCCGACAATATGCGCCAGGGCACTTGATAACAAAGCTTCTGTGAAAGTTTGGTCAAAATCTGTTGAGAAATGTAGGAGAAGTTGCGCACTGTAGAAATTGTTCACTATATATTCTATATAAGGAAAAAAAACAAAGGGTCATAATTACGTCAAATATTATCCAATCACAAAACCCCGATAATATGTGCCAGGGCACTTGATAACAAAGCTTCTGAGAAAGTTTGGTCAAAATCCGTTGAAAAATGTAAGAGGAGTCGCGCACAGAAGAAATTGTTCACTATATATTCTATATAAGGAAAAAAAACAAAGGGCCATAATTAGGTCAAATATTATCCAATCGCAAAACCCGGACAATATGTGCCAGAGCACTTGATGACAAAGCTTCTGTGAAAGTTTGGTCAAAATCCGTTGAGAAATGTAGGAGGAGTTGCGCACAGAAGAAATTGTTCACTATATATTCTATATAAAAAAAAAACAAAGGGCCATAATTAGGTCAAATATTATCCAATCGCAAAACCCCGACAATATGTGCCAGGGCACTTGATGACAAAGCTTCTGTAAAAGTTTGGTCAAAATCTGTTGATAAATGTAGGAGGAGTTGCGCACAGAAGAAATTGTTCACTATATATTCTATATAAGAAAAAACAACAAAGGGCCATAATTAGGTCAAATATTATCCAATGGCAAAACCCCGACAATATGCACCAGGGCACTTGATGACAAAGCTTCTGTGAAAGTTTGGTCAAAATCCGTTGAGAAATGTAGGAGGAGTTGCGCACAGAAGAAATTGTTTACGCCCCCCGCCCGACCACCCACCCGCCCGTCCGCCCCATCCGCCCGCCGACATACCTCAATCTAATAACCAGTTTTTTCCTTCGGAAAACCTGGTTAACCCCGTCCGCCCATCCGCCCGCCGACATACCTCAATCTAATAACCAGTTTTTTCCTTCGGAAAACCTGGTTAAAAATCACTGACCAGAGTTAGGTATGATGAAATAGATAAACAAGAACGTGTTTGTTTAACACAAATGCCCCCCGGCTCCGATTCTTGTCAGTAGCAATATTTAAAAAAATGTTTACCCATTCACTCAGTTATGGACAGAAACATTGCAAAAAAATTGTAAACACAAGTTATATAGCTTGACAGATTCATGGCATTTTGTAATTGTCAAATATATAAGTTGCCAAGTCATTGCTATGACTTGTGAATTGATAAATATTCAACTTTATCAAAAATATATAAATGTAAGAAATCTATACTTGGCACCCTTGACGTTGAACCACTTACACCTATAGAATATCATGCAAGTTATCTTCCTACCAAATATGAAATACACCTATCAATAAATAAAGGCTGTATGGGCAAAAATGTTAAAATCTATTTTGAGCATTGATGACCTTGACCAAACTGACCCCTAACTCCATCCAAAGGAAGAATACCATGCAAGTTATCTTCCAAAGAAATATGAAATAAATCTGTCAATAAATAAAGGCTGTATGGGCAAAAGTGTAAAAATCTATTTTTAGCACTTGTGACCTTGACCCAACTGACCCCTTACTCCATCCAAAGTAGGAATAACATGCAAGTTATCTTCCTATCAAATATGAAATACACCTGTCAATAAATAAAGCCTGTATGGGCAAAAGTGTAAAAATCTATTTTTAGCACTGGTGACCTTGACCCAACTGACCACTAACTCCATCAAATTTTATGTTCCTATCAATTATAAATGACATCTGTCTATAGAATATGGTTAATACACCTGTAAAAATCTATTTTTAACATTGGTGACCTTGATATTGGTGACATTGACCTTGACCTAAATGACCCCTTACTATACCCAAAGAAGAAGGACCTCCCTTGGCATGTTTGTATTGAACATGAAAGACATCAACCAAAAAATAAAGGCTGTATGAGCAAAAATGTTTAAATTTATTTTCTAAACCAGTGACCTTGACTTTGACCCTAGAAACCACTTACTCCACAAAAAATTAGAGGACCATTAAAGGTATCCACCTACCAAATATGCAAGATATCATTAAATAAATTAAGCAATTAAGAGAAATTTACGATAAATCTAACTTGCCGGAATAGGTTAACCAGACAAGGCCCTATTTTCAAAGTGAAAAAAGGGAAATAACTGGGAAATATGGATGACACAGTTATATAACTCAGCAATATCATGTAATTTGTATTGATAAGTAAGTATGGAAATTATGAAGCCATTAGTATAGATAGAACTTAAGATATTTCCAACTTGCCGTTTTAGGTTAACCATTATTCATTTTCTAAGTGCTGAAAAGGGCAATAACTTGGTAAATATGGAAGCCATGGTTATGTAACTTGACCAGATCATGTATTTTGTATTGATTAGTAAGTGTGTAAACTAAGAAGCTTTTGG